AAAAGCACTGCTCCTGAACAAAAATAAGGATTATAAAAACTGCATCAGAATGTTTGTTAGTCCCAGAAGAGTCAGAAAATGCCATTTTTTGCAGATATGTGCCACTTGCTTCATACTGTGTCTCATGATTTTTTGGGTACCATTTGATAATCACATTATGAGCCATATGAAGTCCTATTCCTACAGATACCTCATAAATAGCTACCATTTTGTGAATGACAGCCTATCTATCAGCAGGGATAACCTGAACAGAGTATCAAGATACCAGTACTTGATCAACCACAGAGAGAAATGTCAGCAGCAGGATGTCCTTCTCCTATTGTTTGTGAAGTCTTCTCCTGAAAACCGTCATCGAAGGGATGCAATTAGACAAACTTGGGGTAATGAGAAGTATGTTCGTTCTCAACTTAATGCCAACATTAAAACCCTTTTTGCTTTAGGACGACCAACACACCATCTGCGGAAAACACAGCAGCAAAGAGAACTTGAGCTCGAAGACCAGAAATACCAGGATCTGATTCAGCAAGACTTCTTGGATACTTTTCACAATCTTACTCTTAAATTGCTTTTGCAGTTTAGCTGGGTGAATGCCTACTGTCCTCATGCCAGGTTCATTATGTCTGCAGATGATGACATATTTATCCATATGCCAAATCTCATTGATTATCTCCAAAGCCTCACACAAATGGGTGCTCAAGATCTCTGGATTGGTCGTGTCCATCGCGGATCCCCTCCCGTAAGAGACAAGAGCAGCAAATACTATGTTCCATATGAAATGTACCAGTGGCCCTCATACCCTGACTACACAGCAGGAGCTGCATATGTAATATCAAATGATGTAGCAGCTAAAGTCTATGAGGCTTCATTGACTCTGAATACAAGTCTTTATATAGATGATGTTTTCATGGGTCTCTGTGCTAATAAAATGGGAATTGTACCACAATATAATGTATTTTTTTCTGGGGAAGGAAAGGCTCCATATCATCCCTGTATTTATAACAAGATGATGACATCTCATGGACACGTAGATGATCTTCGCCAGCTCTGGAAGGAGGCTACAGATCCCAAAGTTAAAAAGATTACTTCAGGGATTTGGGGTAGAATGTACTGCAAACTAGTCAAGATTGTGCTTCTCTGTAAACTGTACTATGTGGACACGTATCCTTGTTCAGCTGCGTTTTCTTAATACTTGAATATCTGCATTTAAGATCCACTGAGCCAAGACAGAGCAACAACATTTTAGGTGTTTATCCAAAATATATGTAAACATGGAAAGAGGTAAAATTTACATATGAATACTTGGGGTGGGCAGAGGGAGAAGAAGATGATGGTCCCAGGGTCCCAGATTCTGTTCAGAGACTTACTGGAATAGCTCTCCTGTTATACTTCAACTTTTTACATTGTAGCCTGTTTTTTTACACCTTTCAAGGGATGCAAGTCTGGATTACAAGTGAACTCTAATGGACTTGACTTCTAGACTTTGTAATGCTTGTCGAAAATATGTTTCTTTGAACTTGTCAGTAAGTCTTGATGATTTTTATAAAAGCTATGTGAACTAAAGCATGTGGCAAAAAAAAAAAACCCTGTTATACCAGAATGGAGTAGACCTTTCAAAGCATGAGGAAAGTGGAACTTCTGACTTGATGAATGAGGCTGGCTATCACAGTAGTTTAAGGTAGTGTAAACTCTCTACAAATATTCACCATTTTTCAGTGCTTCATACAAAGTCAGTCTGAACATGCACAGCTGACAAATAGTGAGTGCTAGAAGTGAAGACCTGCTACAATTGTTTTGTCAAAGCTGCCTAAATCTGAAATAGGGAAACTGTCTGGATGCCCTCTGATTTAGTGGTTTTAAATAACAAAGGAACCCCCTTTAGAACTGGAAGCTATAAAAAACCAAATACCACTCACGTGACTGGTTGGGCTAATATTTCTCTGTTTTCTGAAAACTGAATCAGCACATTAAAAAAGCTCAATCTTTAATAAGCAAGTTAGTTAAATTTTCTCCTAATAATGCTTCTGTTTTCCAATATTCTAGAGGTGAAAAGCTAGCAAAAGTCCCTGGGAATGTTACTTAGAGCTAGTTAAAGACTTAAAAAAGAAAAATTTAATGCTTGTACTAACAGAGAGGGAGGGTATTTTCTGTACAAACTGACTTTGCATTGAAGGGATAGGAAGATGGTGATTCACACCAACTCAGTTCACAAATCATAATAACTAAAATATTTCTCCTGAAGTCAAAATTGTCTTTAAAATTCCAGGGTTGTTTGTGTCCACAAACCCCTGTACCTTGAATATATCTCAACGTGAATATCACTTGCAAGGGAACAAAATGCCTGTGCTTTGTAAGCTAAAACAGAGCTAAGTGATGTGCAAACTGCAGCCCTTATGAGTTGTCCTGTGGTGCCATAAAGATACTGCAGAGAACCAGAGTTGCGGGCTGCCTGCAGTCCTTGCACAGCTCAGTCATGGTGCTTCCACAGACTCTCAGGACAGATATCTTAGTTGCTAATTTCCAAAGCTGTGGCAGCTGTACAGGACTTGCTAGTTTGAAGCTGTGAGTAGTAAATTTGGTGTAACTAATGGCTACTGCTCTTGGAGCTGCAGGTTTTGTGGTTTGAATGGATAATGGCACCTGTCAGTGCAGACAGAATCCAGGAGAGAGCTTGCTGACTATTCTTTAAGCTCTTCAGATGGAGGGTAGGTAGTTTCTGGAACTAAGTCAAACATGTAACTTTGTATCATTGGTTTTACAGAAAGAAGATAAGATTCCTAACGGGTTCCAAATGTTGGGCATATAAAGAGCTCACAAAGAAATAATTTATCAGCATCAGAATGACTGACAAGTATGACAAGTACAGCTATACTTCAGAAAGAACAAATCCAGTTCCTTTTCTTGCCTAAACAAATGGATAATAGCACTGGGGATGTAGATCTTTCTAACCTGTTGCATACAGAGAAAATGAATGCACATATAGAGAAAGTATTATTGTGTATTGAAGGAAAGCTGCTTCATCAGATTTCTGACTTCTTGTGAGCTGTTTAAATCAACAAAGCTGCACAGCAAAACTGCACTGCTAGAAAAGCCACCCTGTTCACTGAAGGGAAAGAGGGTCTTCATATGCAGTATGCAACCAAAATGTGCTAGTAAGACTATAGTCTTCCAGCATATCTACGTGTCGGGATTTGTTTTCACTCGTATTCGCAAAAGTAAAGTAATCTTTAAGTAGCTTTAAATAGCTAACATCTAAAACGCTGCTTAAATGTAGTTGCCATTATCTGAAAATCACTTTTGACCATTGAAATACTATGTGTTACAGTTGGTTTGAGCTTTGTTTGGATTGTTTCTTAATCTTAAAAGGGCCTTGTTTGTAGTAGGCATTTTCTTTTGCTGCAGTGAAAAGAAGTTGCTTGTTGAATAAAAAGGAAAGCATGAAGGTACACCTTTCAAAAAATAGAAAAGACATAGAAAACTTCATCTTTTCTGGTTCTAAACACAAATTAAGATTTGTACACTTCCATCAGGAATCCTTTTTAACAATAATCTCAGTGCTCCAATGCAGGGCTGATAGGTTTTACTTCAAATAAAACTGTATCAGCCTGAATGGTCACTCCTCATAAAGAGTTTGACATTGTTGCACAGCATATTTAATGCTATTTTTTTTACCTGTTTGTTTGGTTTGCATCAGTTTCCCTTTGATATTACTAATTTTTATACAAAGTATTCAATATTTATTCTTAAAGTTTGCTCTGTACCACAGAAAGATAGTTGTTTTGTAAAATTTGTTTTGAATAAACAGACTTATTTCTTTTAAAAAAAGTAAGAATACAGAAAAGGTAAATATCTCTTGTTGCTTTCTTTGTAACTGACAAGATCAATTCTGATACTTTTAAGTGTTGTTCCGAGTTCCCTTTTACAAGAGGACTTCAAACTGCCCCTCATTCTCCCCCTGCCTCTGATGTGTGCAAAAGGCAAAATTTGTGTTCCCAAGAAAAGAGAGAGCTCACAAATTTGTTTAACAAGCTTCTAGGTCTAAAGCTGTGTAAAATTGCCAGGTATTAGAAGCTGAACCTGTTGTTATGGTTATAATTTGTATGTTCTCTTCAGGCAGCCATTCCCCTGGAGATGCATATGTGTCTACACAAGATTTCAGATCATACTTTGGAAAAGTAGCTGATGGTTTGGGGACCAGACATGGTATTTTCATAGGGTATAATTAAATTCAGATAATTATGATTTGTATGTCTCTCCAATTTGTCTGACATAATGTATCAAGTTAGGGATTTTACAGGTGGAGTCATTTGCATCAGGTAACTCAGTGTACAAGACAGGGGCATAACTAAAGCATGAATTATCTAAATGACAGTGAAGAAGAGAACAAAGGAAATTAAGTCAGGATTGTGGCATTTGGCTTCTTTGCAGGGGGGTTTTGTTGTGGGTTTTTTGTTTTCTGGGGTTTTTTTATTTAATTGTTCCCTTTGACCTAGAAACTGCAGTTCAGCTAAAATTGTGTTTGCTTGATACTTTTTGTGGAAGTGATTCAAATAGCTGGTGCTTTAGAATGCATTGTTAATAATTTTTTTCTCAAGCTTTTGCAGAAATTTGAGCTTGCAGTTAAAAAACCTGGAAGCCCCTCAGAGGTATATAGTCAAATGTGAATATTCTGAACACTATGAGAGGATCTTTTTAACACCAGGGTTTTTCTGTAAATACATGCAAGACTTATTCTAATGACTTATTTTCTCAAATCTTGTAATTAATACTTCTAAGAGAAAAAAACTGTAAAAAAGCCCCAACCCAAAAACCATAACTCTTATTTGCTTTTCCATCTGCTAGACTCGGCATAAATGCATGGCTGTATTTCAGTGACTTCATTATTGCTAATTATTTATTAATCTGGGGGAACTTCAAAGAGGTTGTAGAGAATGTACTACAAATGCAGCAATTTGCATTCTAAGAAGAAAAAAAAATACAGCAGCTCATATGTGCAGCCTTACCTCCTCCTTGTTGACAAGTTCTCATCACTTTCACTGGTCACCAGGACTCTGCTAGATCCTCCTTGACTGGCTTCATGCATCACTTCAATCTGAATGAGAAGGACATGTTAAAACTGAAAATAATTACTGATGCTTTCATTTAGAGAACTTTAACTCTTTGAAAGAATAAAAATCAGATCCTACCTAACCTAGAAAGTCACTAGACAAGTTCAAATAATTGAATTCTAGATGTGCAGAAATATCTCCTATTTATAATCTCCATCCTTGCTCAGTGCTGGTGTGTAGGCATTCCTTACTCCAGGCAAAGTCATTATATTCTTGCACCACAGAAGGGGAATTACCTCCTTGTGTAGATAATTACAGGCATAATAATCTGTTCTTTAGACTCTGGAATACTATTTTTTCATTTCCTGTCTGAAGCCAACCCAAAGACTTCACATTTCCAGAGTTCTTTGTAGAATGTCCTGTGGAGGAATCTGGGAATCCTCCGTGTGCCTCTGCGAAGTGTCTGTGTCCCAGCAGCAGTGCTGGGTGAGGCAGTGCTGAGCACAGGCCCCTGTGCAGAACCCGTGCCCAGGCTGAAACAGAGCTTTTGCACAGCTCCAGTGTTTGTTTTGATGAACACTCATATACTCTCTTGTCCAATCTTGCAGAGTTGGATCATTTCAAGTGCTCTCCAGGCAAGTTTTCAGCAGGCTTTTCCTCCTTTTGCCTGCAGCTTTAAGAGCACCAAGCACTACTTGCACTTACTCAACAGCCAATCTCTTCAAATTCAGTTAAACAACCCATCTGCTGAGTTTGCTGTTAATCCAGGCTAATACCTAAATCCCAGCAGAATCCAACTTCCCGAGCACTTTCATTTCTAAGGGCTGATTCTTACATTCTATATTGCTAAATTATTTAGCTGGTTGATGATAATGATGGAATCCAGTAATGAACTGTCCTCATATGAACTATTACCAGAACAATGGGGAGGAAAGGGAGGGGGCAGAATTTGCAGTGTAGTATTGGAAAGTGGATTTAAAAATTAATGAATGGATGTTTTATAAAGCCTATACCATGCTGCTGCATACACCTAACTACGTGGGAGAAATGCAACTGATTACCTGCATTACTGATGAGAGTAAAACTAATTCTGCAGTCACCTTCTGTCAGTTTAGGCAAAGAGGAGACCCACCTGGATGTTCCTGCTCATAACAGTGTTTTACTCTGTGCTTATTGCTGAAGGTATGGGCTGTGCTGGCCATTTCAGAGAATGGATTGCATTTAATTTTTGCTTTCAGCTTTGGATGAATAAAGATGAAATGAACAAATCAGGGTTGTGGATAACAGACAGTTGGGTTAAAATAGCTTGTCCTTATCAGAGAGTTAACTTAGAAATGCTCCATTTAAAAAAAAATTCTAAGTATAGATATGTAAATCTATATTTATGAGGTTTTTGAGTTCTCTTGCAATATGGGATGTCCCCAAATTACAAGTAATCCTACCTTAATTCCACCTTTTGTCTTCTTAATGCTTTTCTTTTTTGATAACTCTACTTCAGAAACAGTCTTTGGAGGGCAGGAAATTTCTGTAGACCTCCTGTTGGTAGCTGAAAGAGTTAAAAAAGAAAGTAACATTAGAAAATGTGCTAAAAACAAAAATTCTTCTTCCTAATAAAAGCAATTAACAAAGTGGTAAATGAGACTTGACTTAGAGAACTGAGCTGTGCTGGGGCAGTGATGGACTGGGTGGAACAAGGGATGGGTTCCCTTGTTCAGTGCTGCACTGTGTCTTAAACTGGCGTTTTCAGCTCCACACTGAAAGGATTGCTTTGGTTTGGCTTCCCCTGGGAAAACCATCTCTGGGACAGCACAGGTAAATGTCAGCCAGCTGCACCAACTTGGGTAATTGTCACTTGCATAGTGTTGCTTGTGTGGGTTCCCAGGAAATTTTATTTCTGGTAATGGTTTGCTGATTGGTGTTTGATTAAAGGATTGTTCCCTGTAAGGTTTCATTACATGAACAACTCTGAAAAGAGAAATTGCAGGGGTTCAGCAAGGCACAATGATATGTGTGTAAGGACAAAATCTGAAGATATTATTTCAGAATGTGCCCTGTTGTGTCAGGTTTGGTGGCCCAGCTGAGGTTACTGGACAGTCATCCTTAACAACAAAACCACTTGTGCTGAGCCTGCTGTCCAAAGCAAAGAGTTGGAATAAACGATGAGATGGGGAATAATACATTTGGCTTGAGTAGAAAATAATATCTATTACAGCTTTATCTTTGTTGTAGATTGGTAATGAGTTCATAGCACATGTAAGTACAAGGCAAACAACACTCTCCCTTCATTGCTGAATTGATATGGGCAGCCATTCATGTCATGGGTGAAAACATGAAAGCCAGATGAAATGCTGAAAGAATCTGGGTCAGACAACAAAGAACAAAATTGAGGTTAAGTCCTTTTCTTTTTTATTCTGGCAAAACTTTATAATTGAACAAGCTTTTTTTCTAAGAATAAAAGCTGGTGTTTTCAAATGCATCTGGCAACATTTTGTTTAAGAGGGTTTCACCAAGTTTAATGTTTTGAAGTGTTGAGAGTCTTGATAGTCATTAACTTTTTCTTCTTTGGGAGAAGCTAAGGGATACAGTAAAAAAGATGCAGACATTTTTGAATGAGGAAGACCTAGTATCAAAGGTTTGATATAGGAGAGGTCTGAATACTTTTTAAAAAGAAACACCTTGACAAAATTTCAAATGCCCTTGTCATTATATTCTTCTTTTAAAGTAGTTTTTAAAAAGGCAAAAAGAAGCACATAGAAGCACCTCAAATTATATTGAGTTAAAAAGACAACATATCAGTTTTACAGGTGGTAATAATGGAAGCTGACAGTTCTTCTACCCTGTATCTTTTCAAAAGCCTTATCACACAGCTGGGAAGAGAATTAATTAAAGCAATTGTCTCCAACTCTTCCCTAAATCTTCTTGGATTTATCCGATGCTGAATGCATAAGGACTTTGCAATGCCCATATCATGCCTGTTACCTCCTCACAATGACTCCATACTAGAAAGCTTCCTCAATAGAACAGTGAAATCTGGCAGTCACCAGCAGCTATAATTGACTGGTAGAGAATTCTTGTGGTTCCCAGGACTGAGCTGAAATGCAAATGTCTCTTTTTGGCTCTCCCATCACTCAGAATATACAGCAGGGGATTTGTTTTGATTTTGAGCACTACTTTCAACAAATAGCTTTTTCCTATCCCCAAGCAAGCTTTCCCTGAAGTAGTATTTGTTCTCTTAAAGGTATTTTTATTTCACCCAAAAAGTGGTGTACTGACATTTGGGAACCAAGGGAACAAAAAGATGCAAGATGCAGCACATGGAAGCTATTGATCCTGATTGTCAAACTTCTTCATGCCTTTCTAATCAGCAGGGAGGGTGACTGCTACTGTTGGCAAAACCAGAATATTTGGTAAGTTTTCAAATGGGCCCTTTTAGTGTTTTCATATGAATCTCTGAGTAAAGTGTCTATAAGCATCAGGAAATTCACCCTTTTCTGTATTGATGCAGCCTGGAGAGTCTATTTAGCTATAAAGTGTCACCTACCACGATCATGACATAACAGGCTGTTCTCAGACCTATTACACTAAAAACTATTATCTCCTGGAGCTTCTCCCAGCTATATTCTACTTATACCTTGAAAAATCAGCATAGAATTGGCCACCAAGATATTGTTTCATAATATTACCCACACCTGAATACCCTAGATATGCTGCCAATGTCTAGTTGCCCTCTCTAAAACTGAATTCAGTCCCTCGGATTGTTCTACAATCTAATTCACAATTTTTATGGATATGTCATGGAAATTAAGGGAAGCAACAGAAATAACTTCAGAAAACATGAGGACTTTAGCTTAGAAGAGCATAGTCAGCAATACCAAGTTGTTTGGCTTATTCATTAATCAGAACATTTTGTAACTTGAAGGGATGATTGATACTGGTATGAAAAACTTTGCTGAAAGCAATCAACAGAAAAAGTGAAAAACAGTTACAACTTCGATGTCTGGATCACAACTTGAAAGCTCAGACAGCTCCAGGTGATCCAGGAAAGAGAGCACAGTACAGTTTAAATGAAAGATGGCATATTCACAAGAAGCCAAACTGCACGTGCTCCTTGATCCAGCAGCCAATTTCTCAGATCAGTTCACATTCTGAGTCTTGGCTTCTTCAGTGTGACATTTTTCAGAAAAGGAGACAGGTACAACATAAGAAAGCAGTCAAATTCAACTGAGTGTGTTTCAGAGATTAATTTGATTCATATTGACACAGTGAACTTCCCTTTCCAATTAGACCCAGAAATGAACTGAAAATAGGAAACAAGCTGCTTTAGTTATGCTCTGGAGAATTTTTCAGTTATTGATTGGCCCTTATTCAGAAACTGCTACATGTCACTGCATTTAAGTAGTTGCTGAAGGAGTACAGAAAAAACCAGCCCAAATACCTGCCAATTATTATGGTACTAATTACTGTGGAACTGGAAATATAAGGGAAACTCCCTTATAGAATTCAGTAGAGTTGGCTGTTTCAAGGTCAGTACAGTGTTGTCTTGCTGAAGAAGCTGAAAATTACAATGCTGAACTGCCTACTGAAAGAATAAAGGCACAGGAACAGAGAACTGGAAATTATCTAATGTCTGCATGGTTTCAGGGTTGTTTTCATCCTATTGTTTCACACGAGTCTCCTGGATGATACATAATGATGATTTCATTTTGAATTCATTAATATTTTAAATTGCTTGATGCTGCTTTTAAAGTAAATATTGTCAAAGGGCATTGTAAAACAGAGTTTGGGTCTGTCACTTGCATTCACTTGGAGAACCACTACACTTTTCCGATGGGGCTTTAGTAAAATTTACTGGTTTTTTATGAGCAAGTTGTATAACAAGTATGGAATTACTGTTGTATATTTAGCCTACAGCAAATGGTAAAGTGGGCTGTACTGTCCCTAAGGCTGTTAGAAAATGACAGAAACTCATGTGCCCTGTTTTGCCTTGCAGTCTCTCCACCCCTCTAAGACTGAAATAAATTCAGTGAGGAAAATTCATGCCACTTGTGAGAAAAAGCTGTGGTTTCACCCATTCGCCCCCCTGCTCCTCTGTGGCAGGACACAGGCACCACCTCTCAGGTGCTGATATCTTACAGGGGGACTACATCCCCCACTGAGGGACAGACTGAGGGACAGACAGAACTGTGGGCAGCTCCCAGGTGCTCAGAGACACTTGGATTAGTTGGTAAGTGGCCTAAGCTAGCTCTTGCTAGAATAACTCATTAGCTAGCAAGAGACACAGGCCATAGCCAAAGGTAACGATGCATACTCTGCACCTGCAAGATATTCCAAACCCCCCTCAAGTAAGTACCACACTTCACATTCAGGTGTGGGGGGAATTCCCCCATCACATTTTCCCGTTTGTTTTCTGTATGGATTTGTGCATTCTCACTAATCACCTACAGCAGAACTGAATTCTTTTGACTTGCTGTTCATGCTGTCCAACAGGAATACAAATTTGAAGATAATTAATGGCTTCATTGCTGTTTTGAATACTGGTGATGGCAAAACAATGTTTAGGCAGCTAAAGAAACACCAGAGCTGCTATGGTTTGTCACTTAATGGCTTAGGGCAGAAAGACTTTGCCATTCTTAGGCAATATAATTTAGACTTCTTCTCTCTGGCAAAATTTCTGTCAAGTGCCCTGAAAATCTGCTGATATAAGAAGCACAGAACAAGCTTCCTGCATGTGGAATATTCTTCTACAAGGATACACTACTTGGTTTCCTCTGACCCAAGTGTAATAGCAATCCCACACTCACACAACTGAAAGTATCCTCTCTTTTTTCAACTTTATTTATAGAAAAATATACTGAACTAGAAAAACTAGTGGTTTCTCAAACCATTCATGAGTCACACACACCATCTCTTCTGAGTCAGCTAATCTCTCCACAGCCTCACTTCCCCTGCACACATCCCCAGACTCTTGCAAGAAATTCTTTCTTTATCCTCTGTCCAGATGTTATTAGTTAGTGAGTGTTACACACAAATGACTGTGAGGAATGCTGGACTGGATCCAATGAGCAGTTGTATACATTTAACTGAGATAGAACCAGCTTAAATTTTATTATTTGAAGAACTGAAAAGGTTCCAGCTGTGTTCCCCTTTATGAATCTTGTGTTCCAAGTTGGCCTTTTAAGATGCTTGTATGGTGAGTCATGGATTTTGTATGTGCAATGTGCTGTTAAACATGTTATTTGTTTAACAAGCTCACAGAAATTTTGACATTTCTGCTCCTGTATTTCACATTTATGTTGCCCACAAAGAACTTCCAGGTGAACATTTTATAGCACTTTGTCCTGCCATTTTCCAGCTCTTGTGAGAAAGGTAACTAAAGCAAGACATTTTTCCTAACCATGGTCATTGAGATGGCCAAATCACCTTTCACTGAAATTTTCCAAGAATATGTGAGGTTGAAGGGAATAGTCTTTGGGAAAGTATGATTTCAAAAAGTAAGAGTCTGGGAGAATTACAAGCACATTAAAATAGATAAATGCTAACTGCAGTAATTTCTAATTGCTTGCATTATCCTTTACAGTTCTGTAGTTCATCTCATTGTGTCTGACAGACTGTGTGGTTTGACTCTGTGGACCAATTCCAATTCATTCCATGCTAAAGAGTTTTCCACAGAAATGCAGATAACAAATGTGTAGTCAAATCATCAAAAATTATGCCCTCAAAAGTGAATCAGAGCAAAAATATTTCCATAGCAAGTGCCACTTCTTTCCTCCCAACAGACATTGGGACAAATTTAGCTATTAGAATTCAAGCAGCTTCCACTGGGAGAAAATGGAGTTCTCCTTAAAATAAAGTGTCATATATACTACATAAATATTTTAAAGGCTCTTATAAAAAGGTCAACAGAGTTTTCTGCCTTTTCAGGGTTGATCTGTGAATAATATTTAATCAAATTCTCACAAACTGAAGGAGAGTCAACTCTGAGCTGCCATTCTGGATCTTCACTGAGCTAAAAGATTGCTGAGAATCACCAGAAACCACAAGGACATGCACATGAAACTATGACAGTCCTGAGAGAAACCTGAGAGAAATCTGCCCTTTCTCTCAGACATGGTATCAGCTACGCCTGTGTGCAGAAACTCCATCTCTGCCGATGTATTTGCCCATGTAAAATGGAGAGTCTGACAGTTACAATAATGGAGTATTTAATGTCTGAGCCTTTATACCTGTGAAGATTTTTCCATTAGCACTCTGAATTGGACTGAATTTTCCCAACTGCTCCCTGTTAGGAAAACGGAGAGTCAGCAAGGAAGAACAAAACAAAATCTATTCTGGAACAAATGTAACTTCTTTTCCTTTCACAGACCAACCACCCCAGTTCTGCCATGGTATTGTTACTCTGCTGCCTGGGGACAAAAGCCTTTCTTTCTGGTCTTCTGATTCTGTTTACCACATTTTATTGCCTTTGCTTGCCTTTTTATTTACACAGTCTAAGAACATGGTATTTTCCTGTTGTCATATTCTATTTTGCAAGCTTTTAGAAATATTCAGGTATGTCCTGGGTAACAAATGATGAATGAGTTAAAAAACCTGTTTCAAGAAGGTGCTCTAAGCCTCTCTCAGGTTTCCAAGATGTTGCTCAATAAATTCTCCCCATAAGTAAATGCTGATTGTGCATTGATGCCATGAATGTGAAGAAAGGACACAGAGGAAAGTCCAAAAGACGGTAGCTTCAAGAAGAGCAGAATTTCACAGCCTCATTTTCAGGCTTGGAATAGGACTCAGTGTTCCTGTTTCTATTCTCAGACACATTTCAGAGTCAGACTGTGAAACACCTTGGTGAATTCCTTGGTTTATCTCTGCTTCAGTTTTCTTTCTGAAAAAAAGAGGTTGAAATACTGACCAGTGCTTGTCAAGTGCTTTAGCATTCTGAGGGAAAGGGCACTCAGGAATTTCAAAGTATGATTCTTTGTAGCAGACAACTGGATAACACCAAAGTGATTAATAAAGAATATGTGAATATATATGCACTATTCATAGCTGTTAAAGTCATTGACTGTGAGTCCCTGGATGAGCTGTAGATACTCAGGCAGTTCTGTGTCTTTGCACAGAGGTACTCTTGGTCAGTCACTCAAGAATCTGAATGAAATGGCAGAGTCTGCTTATCAATGTCTGAACAGAACTGGGTTACACTTTGCACTTCCTTACAGCCAGAGTAGCATTTTAAAATAAATTTCAACTACCTATTATTTTACAGCAGGACATTAAAGGCTAAGCCTTGTCACACACTTATCCTATATTGGGTTGTATAACCGTGAACTGCAATTCAAGGGACAGAGCAAGGGAGCATCTCATGACTTTCTATGAAAGAGCTGATGGTATGTGGGATGGGCTGTATGAACAAGAATCAAAACTTAGAGCACTCTCATAAACCAGTGACTGTTCTATAAGGTTCTATCTGTATCAATAATTTAATTTAAAAATCTGCAAATGTGCAAAAATGACAAGAAAGAAGTTCAAGAAACAGTTCAAGAGACTGCATGCATAAACAGAATGGCAAGATGAACTTTTAGCCTGAAGATGCAGATTCACAGTAGGTGAAAGCCATTCTAAAACTGTGCTGCCACTGACAGGAACTAACTGGCTCTGACCTACTGACCCCATAACCCCATTTTCTGCAACTTCCTTTGCTTCAGCACTAGTGGCCATGCTCAATAGTGAGCAATCTGATGAACACTGACATTAGTGCTGCTTAGAGCAGGTGACTGTGCTGTGTGATCTCCAGAGCTCCCTGCATTTCTCTAACTCATGCAATGGAAAAAGAACTACTACACTTTTGCAGTCTCTGTATTCAGTTTTCAAGGCAAATCACAACTCCAGCAAACTGACTGCCTACCCCAGTGCAAGAGGGGAGCACAGTGCTGGAGGATGTGGCAGAGCAGGACCTCTTCACAGGAGTTGTGTTCTCAGCTTGCCTCAAACTAAAATAGAAGCTGGAAGTTGAGGTAGGATCTGTACATAAAAAACACAGCTACCATGGTTTGAGGGAAAAAATGTACAGATGTCAAACCAGCATGGGAACAGGAAAAAGATGATTTTCCTTTGGAAGAAAAGAAGAATGCTGGGGAGCAGAGGAGAGCAGGGACAGTAGTGTGACTTTCTGCTGGTATGCCTAGAAAGAAAAATGGTCAGGCTACTGGCCATCCTAATCTTCCTATTGAGAAAGCAGCTTATTGAATGCTCTTCATGCAAATTAGAGGGATTTTTAAGGCTTTTTGCTAAAGCTTCCCCTTTTGAACAGCCCTAAAAGTTCCAAAGTGACAACCTCTTCCTGCCACCAAGCACAAGGTGACTGGTCTCCAGGATACACTGCTTCAAATTAGTTTCACCCATGTTCCTTTTGCAAAAAACCAGTTATCTTGGCTGGACACAAATGCTAACCTCAAATAAGGAACTTTCAGTAATTTCCAAAGAGAAGCAATGCTAAGCTTTTATGGTTAGCAGAGGACAAGGTAGAAAGTGAACTAACATCTATGTAGAGGGGGAAAATGAGTCAGTGTCACTCACTAATGAACCCTTAATTTTGCAAGTATCTGATTGAAACTTGAGGAATTATGACACTTGAAAGCCAAATATTCACATTGCATTATAAGGAATATAAAAGAGGTTCAGATGCTTACATTGCAGGCTTGCATTGACTACCCTGGTGTGCGTATTTGAGAATTAGCAATACAAGACACACTGACACACAGTATGGAAATGTACTCTGTAGATTAGACCTAGGAAGAGAAACCTGGTGGGTTTTTTTGATTCACTCTTGTTTGTATGTTTGCAATAAGAGACATTTCATATTCATTTTTTACTAGCTGGACCTACAAGGTTGACACTGCACATAAAATTCAAATGTTCATTCTGATAACAAAAATCAAACATGACCATGTGGACAAAACACTGGTGTGAGTCTGAAAGCAGCTGCTCATGGCCTACCTACTGCTGCTGGTCTGGTAATCTTTGGTGATGCTCGCTTTGGCGAAGATTCAGGATGTGGAGCAACAGGTTGTACTGGCCGGGTCTGTTTGGCTGCCAGCTTCTTCAGACTTACTTGTCTCTTGTCAAACATTTCTTGCACATCTTCGAGTTTTTGTACAATTCTTTGGGCATTGGCCTTGACAAAGAAAAGGCAAACAACAAATGGTTGTCAGTGCTGGAATGAGTGAAGAAAGGACTTGTATTCCCAGACTCAGACTAGAGCTGGAGATCACAGTGTGCTGCAGGTTATTGCAGCCCAGTCCACACATTCTGCCCAGATCACAGTTTCTCTGACCTGTGATGGTGACTCAAGCAGTATTTCTAGCACTGCTCTGAAGAAAATGACGCAAGTGTTGCATGACTACTCTTATGAGTAAAGCTTATTGCCACAAATACTGACCTCTGTGCCCTTTTGGACTAGGGAAAGAGGCATATTTTACCAGACTCAAATATATAGCCCAGTACACTTTCATAGACAAAGCAACTGGAAATTTTTAACTTCTAAGTGAGCACATGTACATCTGAGGGGTTTTACCTTTATTTCAGGGGTGAGAATCATGTCAAACTGATTGTAGAACTCCTTCGGGTTGGAGAGCTGGTGTTCCTTAGCTGTTACCAAGAACTTCTCAATTTCAACGAGTGCAGTTTCAGCTCCCTCTTGTGACTGGCACTTGTCCACAGCTTGGGAAGCTAAGAGGTAGATTCCAGCTTCGCACCATTGGCTTGCCTTTAAAGAAAAGTGGGGAAACAAGAACTTATCACTGACAGTCCCAGTTGTCAGGTGTTCCTTCTACTCTATGGAAAAGAGATTAGCCCTAACATGTCATTAAAAGGGGATCAATGTTACTCATAGTGTGCCTGTCCATAGTTCCTGCCCACAAGTCACCCCATCAGCATATACAGAATTGAACTTGCTGAACTAATGCAAAGCTCCAATATTTATATTAATATTTACTGAATAAAATGGAAAAAAACCAAACACAACTTTTTATCTTCATCATAATTACCTGAGCTAATAAAATCCTTAATTTTTAATAGGACCTTGCCAGAGCTGTTATCTGAAAAGATTCACTCACCTTATCTAATTGCTTATGCAGCTCAAGAGATTTTCCCAAAATATCATACTTTTTCTTGGTCTCATTGGTAAAGTCATCACAAATTCGCCTGAGTTCAACACACTTTGGTCTAATGGAATCAACTGCATAATGGTTGTTTTGGATGAGCTGTTCTCCATGGAGAGCAAGAGACTGGGCTTTCTCCAAAGGTTCCTGTACAATTAATAAGAAAAATCCAAAATTTAAATGACATGCCTAATAAGGACAATCCTTCTCTGTAACCCCTGCTGTTATTTTATATTATTTTACATTTACATTGAAGGCCCACTTCCACGTCAGTGAGTACATTGAAACTCATGAGGGTCCCTCTGAACGCCAGGAAGCACTTTTTTGTTGTGAGGGTAACCAAACACTGGAACAGGTTGCCCACTGAGATTATGGAGTCCACTTTTTCCTCCTCACATACTGGGGACATTCATTATTCAAGGTTTTTTCCTACTTTTTCCCCTAGTTTTCCAAGTAATGAAATGGAACTACTGGGTCTGAACAACCCTGGCTTCTGGAAATTAGGATCTGTTTTGCAATTTAAAGTTATGACTCATGAGAAGAGAGTAAATCTGGACAAAAAAATGGGGCAGTGACAAGTGTCTAGAATACCATGTCTATAGCAGCTAGAATACTAAATTGAGTACAAACCTGTCCTTTCTCTTCCAGATGTTTCTGTTCCTTTAGGAGGTTCTCAACTCGAGTCACACTGTCTCCAATGTCAGCAAAACTTGCTTGTGTTTCCATGAGGTTATCCAATGTCAATTTTACCTAAAAAACAGCAACAATAAAAACATAAATCAAAACAAAATAAACACACCCAAAACCCCATCACAAGAATGAAAATTACAACAAACATTCACCTACATCTGTGATCTCAAGTTTATTTTTTGAGTTTACTCCAAAATGGAAAATCCAATGAATAAATTAACAACCAACTATTCTTCAAAGAGTTTCCCTGCTTCTCACTAATTAGGCCCACAAAGTTTTGACAACCTGTAACTCCAGAGTTTATATTACTTCAGAATCTGTATTACTCCAGTCTCTGGACTGACAGTTGGGCTTTCTAAACTGTATTCCCTTGACTGTGTTGGGATTGGTGATTTACCATCACAGAAGAATCTATGTTTGATAATTTCACACCTAAACGCAAAATTATTTATCAAGATTAATTTAGTTATTGGTGCTCCACATTTTGGCCTCACAGTCTGGCACTTTCCTCACTGTGCCTTATTCAAGTGTTGTAAGACATCTGAAAGCTGTCAAGACTTTAATTTTAGAATATTCATTTCCTAATGCATAATGAAGGTCTTCTCTCCCAACCTCCTTTTTGGACTGGTGGTATACTCTAAGTATGGATAGAATTTGACCTTATTTATCAGAGAAGGCTAGAAAGCATGAACAAAGAAATACCTCTCTAAAATCATGTTCAAAGTGTCGAAGCTGCAGGCACTGTTCTAGTTTTAGATGATGCTTGGTCCAAAATTGATCAAAAGCCTTTTCTGTTTCATCCAACTGAGCCAACAACCTGTTAAGAAATTATAATGAACAGAATGTACGTATTTCCTATAGTTCATTTCTTTTAAGCTACAGTAATTGATGGCAGAAAGCAGAGCGGGGAGGTGGTGGGGAGCCCTAACTTATGTAAGAGGGCTCTGTGTCAGCTCTCCCACAAGCAAAAGAGAATGGAATTTGCAGTAGGACAGGCGGGAATGTGACAGATGAGTGACAATTACATGGATCTACTGTGGCAGTCACAGTCCTGCCTCCTGGTGTGCAAGAGGGACTCTGAGCTGTTCCATGTGCTGGCAGCCAAGGGCAGCTGTCACTCCCTAACTTCCACCCAATGCTTCAAAGATAATCCATCCCAACTTATGCAGATTGAATATGATGCAATTATTTTATGGAATGATTAAAACAGAACTCTACAACTTGCTAACTTTCTTCACCGATCAGAAGTAGGCAAGGGCCGAATCATTCTTCCCAGTCCGTTAAAAACAATAGATTAATGACTCCCATGGACATTGTTTTACTTTGTGTAAATGATGAAACATTTATTTGCAAAGACATTAATCTCAAGGTGTCATATCTTCAGTACAATATCTGACACCAGGATAGTGAGTCATCCTCAAGAGTTTCTCAATGATCCATTAATTATGGAGTAGAATAGTTTTAAACAAGTAGAAAAAAACAAAAAGGAAGTGTTCTCTGAATATCTTGTATTTTAATAGATGGGCATTCTTTGGGCAGATGAGGGATCAGTGTATGCTGAAATAATCAAGTTACTGGGGCAAATGCCAATAGCTCCCTCCTATTTGTCTCAAAAACAAGTTTCTGTTTTCAATCTGTCCCTGGAAAACCTTTTTAAAATCAAAGCTAGTTGTTGAATTCAACATGAATTCACAAATTCCTTTGTGATGACTGCTCAAAGGATTTTAAAGTATTCAGTGAAAAATATCAGCTCAGCTTTACTTTCAGCACCTTTGTTCCCAGTGAATGCAGACATGCTGAAACCCTAGCATGGCATTTCTCTTTGCTCTGCATCACATGGCACAGCAGAAACTTCTACATGGTGACTAAAAGCTTTATGGTAATAACTAGCATTGTAGGAAGGAAAAGAGGGTTCTCTCTCTGTGTATCTCTGCAGTTGTGACACACAGAATGTTTCAGGTATCACCTTCATCTGCTCCTCCCCCAGTGTTTCCACAGACATTCACAAGCACATCAGCCACTCATCTCACAGAGACTCAGGTACTACTTTCTAACCAGGCATAGAAGTTTGGAGGACATATGTGTCAGGGAGAAAGTAAGTCCCACCTTGAATCTTCAGCCAGGTAGGTAGTGATCTGACCAAAAATCACCAAAAAATTCAGGACTTGTTTGAACTTGCCTTGACAGTTTAATTGAGTAATTTCCTCTAAGGTATTTCCTTCTCTGACTTACCTGTCCATAAATCCTGAGTACGTGGTAATTTATAACCTGCATATTTAAATTCTTTAAATTACATTTACACCTCCTAGGAATAAATTGGCAAGTTGCACAAGGTAATTTAGTTCCACTGACCTTTCCACTGTGGCCACATTTTCCAGTTCATCTGGACTGAGTTTGCTGTTGGCACTTCGGGTGACTGGCTCCCGGATACATGTCAGTAAGGTGGCCCCCTGCTTCACTGCTAGCTTCAGCTCATCCTGAGGGGAAAAAACAAGCCAAAAACCAAATTGTATGTACTTCTAACAACACTCACATCTCTTAGGTGAAAACAGAGTGATGATAAAGGAGGATTTTTTCATAGGTACAAAATACTTGAAACAAAATATAAATGCTTACCAAAGGTGGTATGTTTTTCTAGCAAATGTGGAGACCTAAGTCTTTTAACTTTGAATAGTAGATCTATTTCTGAGAAAAGGAATAGAGTAATTTCTGAGTAGATTGCATATCTGACCAGGCCACTTGCAGAATAAATTATTCTACCACAAATTGAATGCATGTTATAGATTGTGAGCTGAGAGACTGGGCTGAGACATTGCACTTCTTAATGGAATTTCCTCAAACAACATTGTGCCATGCTGAGCCATAGTACCTCAGCTATAAGAAGTCATCCACAGAATTGTCTTCCCAGCATGAAGCAATAAAAAGACAAAGAGGCTCAAATATTAACTTGTCAGATGACAAATTCCCACATCACTACACAGTTCTTCCATAAAAATTGTTCTTGTGCTAATATAGCTTAAGAAGTATTTTTAATCTTGTGTTTAATGTAAGGTATTTGCTGACAGCAGTAATATTTACTTCTGATCCTTACTCTGCAAAGCTAAACTAGTCCCAACTTTTTTTTTTTACAAAACAACAGTCATCATCTAGTTAGATCGTTCTGTCTATTCCTGACTATTCTCTGTTTCTGCTCCAATGTAAGTCCATCCTTTATGATGAACTCTTCATCAGGAGCCCATGCTATTCCAGATGTGATCCCATTATTCCCTCTCACACAGTGGAAGTGACACTTCCCCATTCTATCATTCCTGAAGCATAAAATGTTCTTTTCCACAGCTGAATCAAATTGACCTCCTGAACCCAGATGTCTGTCCTTCTCAGTGGTTTCCAGACAATGGCCAGTGATGGTAGAAAATTTTGTTAGACCAGAGCTCATCTATTGCACTGCTGGAGCCATCGTGGGGCAACAATCACCTTCAGCTTGCTGTGGTGGTCGGTGTGTGAGGAGAGAAGCTCCTCTGTGCACTGCACATCGTTGGGAAGTTCAGTCTCTGCTAAGTCTGTTCCAAAGGTCTGTAGCATCTGTGCTGTTGTTTTTACTGTCATTGCAAAGTTTTCAATGGCCTGGAAAAGCAAATGCATAAAGTCACAGATTGGTTATTTACCCTTAGCACTTTAACAACACTTTGTGCTTCAGGCGCACCGTGCTGCAAGTATTACATGCCTTAAAGCTGGTCACGTTGCCTTTTTCGGGTGATGTGCTTAAAGTTACAAATTAAACCATGTGTCACAAATGACCTTTTTACAGGTCTGCACGTATTGTCACTTTGGTGAGCCAACGGGGAACTCCCAGAGCTCAGAAGACATAATGAAACCACAGAGGACATCAGCTTCAAAGACAAGCTTGGAACTTCAGATCCTCTGCCCATGCTTGCTGGGAAATTCTGCCATGTTTAAAATTTTAATGAAGGCTTTATTTAAGTATAGAACACTACTAAAATATATAGGGCAAAGCCTTTATATTTATACAGCCATTGTTCACTCAGCAGTAATCTGTCTTCCCCTGACTTCTGAATATGTGCATCTCCATCTTGCCTATCAGTACAAGGTGCATTCTAGTCAGTTCCTCCCATCTGTCCATGCTAGCACCCAAATACAGGAACAAGTAACTACAAATACAGTTAAAATGCGTAAATTCATGGGAACATTGCTGTTTCTTTATCACTTGGGTGCAGCAACACAAAGCTTGTCAGAAATCTGTGGTTTTAATGCAGAATGAGGAAGTGAGGGAAGCTAAAAAAAAACAATGCCATCCTCTCAGAGTAGAATATAATGTTCAGACCTGTGACATATGATTAAAACCTTTATATCTAGTAGAAAGTAACTGCATGGGATGTTTTTCCATGATCATGCCCAAGTTTGGGTGTGGCTGTGTTGTTTTGTATAGCTCTTTATTATTTGTACTTTTTGATCTAATCCCCCACAGGTTTGAGTCCGTCAACAAACACTAGGGATGCTCTTACACACAATCAAACACTATGTAGTAGTTGCACACTGCATTCGTTTCTCCAGCAATGATGATAATTCATTGTTTGCAGCCATGACAGATGAAATTATGTTGTGAGCTCAGTGAAAAACAAACTGGAGGTAGATCATCATTCAAAAGGCATAGAGAGAAATTAGCCCACATTTGTGATCTCAAGCATGCCCCCCATGAAAGAATGCTAGCAGAGTTCACAGCCTTCTTCCCTCTTCCCCCATAAATTCATGTCTGCTTTCAACACAAGTAGTACAGACCACACATGCTCTATCTTAGTGCTCTGCAGCTGTATGCTGCTGTTCTCAGCACTGAAACTACTGGATTAGAACTGGCTGAAATGTCACACTTCTGACTGCAACACAGACATGGCCATCCATGACCAAAGGCCATTTACTGAAAGCCAAAAATGCACTCGGTGGGCAAGAAAGTCCATAGGCTCCTGGAAGCCAAGAGAGGAGAACAGCAACAGTGAATGATGTGAGGAGGTTGTTGTGTCACTGCCATTTAGCAAGAGTTTAAAGCTTTTTCAGAAGAAAATCACTGGCAGGACAAGATATGAGAACACTGAGAGAAGCAGCAAAGGGCATGAAGATAGTAGCTCAGGAAGACTGGAAGTCAGATTGTTTCAAGGTGCCATGGAAGATGACACTTCCCTAATGACAATTCTCAACCTTTTATCCAGCAGATATTCCTTGGCTGACTGCACCATGAACTTGTCAGTGTTTCACTCAATAGCATTTCCACTCTCTCCTGTGTATATGAGCAATAAGTTGTTTCATGTACCTAAGTTACATCTGTGGATTGGCTTTTTTCCCGTCTCTGTGTGCTTGGTAAAATTTTTTCTAAAAAATTTAACTAACATCTCTGGGGATTACATAGCCCTACTCCTCTAAATTCTTAGCTCATTTTGTTTGTGTATTTTACCAAAATATGTATTATTGCTTTATGTAAACCCCTGCCATTAATAAATAATACCACCCTTCTTATACCTCTTTTTATGCCCCTTCATATTTTCAAATCTTTTGCTGTTTGAAAGCTCTTACAGGTGATTCATTTTTTCACACTCCCTGTTTCTGCAAGGACAGTTTCATATTTTTGATATGTTTGACACATGAGCTTATTCACTCATCTCAACCCTAACCTCATTATAGTCCACACAGTTATAAATGTAGAAAATCAATGTTAGACATAGTTCAGATTCTATGTTTCAGAAGCCTGAAATATTTGGTGGTTCTCAAGGAAACTAAAATTTAATTTTATAAGGACAGCAAAGCACAAAAAAAGTATAGCAAGAAAATTATAAAAGTGATTTGATGTAAATTACCTCAGAAAAGCTCTTTTTATGAGTTAGCTGTACCCTGCCCATCAGCAACAACAGACTCAAACGCAGTGCTGCTCAGAACTTTGCAAATATTGAGGCTCACATTGGATGTGGGCTCTAATAGATCAATCTTACAAGTAGGTCCACAAAGAGAGATGCAAACATTGTATAAATTCTCTGTGAAATTAATTACTTTTCCAGGATTGTGACCCAGTTTAGCCCATTTTGCTTAGGAAGAATGAAATTATATTTTGTCTACTAATGTGCCAGAGTTTGGAGTCTGTTTTTTGTGAACTGTCATCTTACCTGGGCACCATAATGAATGGTTTACATTGTTTTGAAGCAGACACTGATATGCATCAACCAGCCGAAAAAGGGAACAATCAAACCTGTACAAGTTTCCTCAATAGAATAAAAAAGTCTTTCTGCCTTCCTCCTAACAACTGTTCTTCAATTACCCAAAATAAGACCCAGCTAAGTGCTTGTATAGGATAGAAATGAAAAATATAACACAGTGCCCTAAATATTTTTATTCTCTTAAAAGCATGGACATAATTAATCATTAGACTGAGACTTTTGACCTTACTTTTGACCTTTGTAAAGTCAGCAAAGTGCTACAGCCTATTTTCAATTGCAGCTGAAGGCCTATGAATCCCATCAATTATTTAAAAGGCAAGAGAAGGCATTGCTGAGTAAGAATGCCACGACACTGTTAGGCCCAGGGCCAGGTATGCAGTGAGATACAATTACTGCTTCCATTACAAACTTTTGGGGAATTTGCCTTTCTCTGTCTGAGTCATGGATTTGCTCTTTCCCTGAGTCCCTAGCAGAATCCATAGGCTGTAATGCAACTGAAAAGTGCCTGTTTAATGGTTGCTCTGCATTTGTCCCTGGGACAGTTGTGGTGCAGATGTGTGAGAACAGCAGCACTCACTGTTCGGTGATGGATCCACTGGCTGTGGCCGTACTCCAGGGTTCCCCCCAGCTCCCGGGTCAGCTGGCTCTTGTCAATGTAGCCATGCAGATCAGAGACAGAATTTAGCATGATGATCTGAAATGAATCCAAACACACTGCACTGAGAGAAATAACAAGCCTTTTAATCATTGTTCTAAGATCTGGGTTTGCCTGAATATAGATGACCACTGCAGTTCCACCAGAGGCCATCAGTTCTCATTTTGCGTTTTCTCGTGACATGGCCACAGTTTATTTTTTCTAGATTTTGCCTTCTCAGTGTGTACATGGACTTTCTTGAACTAACCTTGGTTTGACATCATCTTCCTCCTTGCTGGGCTAACTCATTTTGCATGTGCATCAAGAGCAAAAGTATGGTATTGGTAATGTTCACACAAACTTCTATGACATAATTTATCCTCTAGATAACATTTATTTACAGAGAAATGGAGACACAGGCAAGTTAAACAGCTTCTTCAACACCAACCACTTGATCCAGGGAAGTGACCATTGAGAATAAGATTTTACTTTCCATTTCCTGATTTTTTTTGGCACTGTATGTTCACTGAACTCACTGGCATTTTCCCATTTAAAATCATAATGTAAGAGAAAGGAGAAATACCCTAGATCAATTATTTTACTTTAGAATCTCCCTACCACTAGACTTGCTCGAAGAAAGCCAAACAAAATTTCAGTTCAGCTGCAGATAAGGAGCATTAACTTTTGGCAACCAAGTGGTAAATTTGTCAACACAAGTGGTTGCACAAGTAGCACTCATTTATTGTTGCTCCAACAGCTAGAAGACATGCCATGATTTCAGCAACATAAGAATAAAAAGTTGAGCACAAATAACTAAGAATTTTAAATAAATAAATGTCATAAATATGTCAAATGGGTTACTTGAGCCTATTTAAATAAAGCTTATGTGTCTCTGCACCTCAGCAGGCTCCAAGGGAGCATGGTAAGTACACTGATGAACACTATGGACAGTGAGATGAGTGCAGATGTATGGAGACAAGAGAATGCATATTCTAGGCTAAGAGTGCTCTAAGAAAAGCCTTGAGAACAAACCTGAACAAGTTTTTAGCTGATCTTTGTTACAAAATCTTTCTAGAATAATTCAAGTTGGCACGAACCTCAGCTCTCTAGTCCAACTTTTTTCTCAAAGCTGTGTCAGCTGTGAGATCAAACCAGGTTGCTCAGATCTTTATCCACCTGAGACTTAAAAACATCCAAGGATTGAGATTGTACAATCTTTGGGCAGTCTGCTCTGCTGCCTGACTTTTGTAGTGAGAAAGTTTTTTCTTATGTCAAGTCAGAGCTGCCCTTGTTTCACTTTATGTCAGTTATTTCTTATCCTACCACCACATACAAGCTGGCTGCAGTGCCCAGTAACCTGGAGGGACTGGAAAGCTGCTGCTATGTCATATTAACCCTCCTAAGCCTTCCCTTCTCCACTTTAGACAAGCACAGTTCCCTCAGCATCTACTTACAGAACACATGCTCCAAGTCCTGACCTTCTTGGCTCTCCAATATTACTCCAGATTAATATTTTTCTTGTACTGGGGGAACCAAAACTCAGGGTGCTCTCAATGTGAATTAATTAGAGTCAAGTAAAGGGGGAGGAGTGATCAACCTGTTGGCCTTGCTCCTGTTCATGCAGGATGCTGATGGCTTCCTTTGCTGCCAAGCCACACTCTGGCTCATGTACAGCTTGCTCCCAGCTCCTTTTCTGCAGAGATGCTCACCAGACAGTCAGGCTACAGTGTTGTCAACAACACAACTCTTGTGTTGTTGGAAGGGAAGAACATGAGTTCTTTCTTGAGTAAGAAAATCCTTCTGGAAGGAAACTCCCAGTTGCAGGACTTTGCTTTGCCCCTTTGGTATATATAAAATAATATGCTGGTCAGCCTGTTCCTTGAGTTTTTGTTCCAGTGGCCCTGTCTTGGAATATACGATCTGCTCCTCCTGGTTTAGTGTCATCTGCACACTTGATGACAGTGCAGCCTGTTGCCTCTTCCATGTCACTGATGAAGATATCAAACAGGGCAGATTCACTCACTACAACACTCCACTTGTTGCCTACTTCCAGGCAGAGTATGACTCATTACCATTACCCTCCTAACCCATCATGAAACTAGTTTTTAAAACCACATGTAGTTGTCCATCCATCCAGACTGTAAACCTGACTTGCATACAAGAAGATAGTGGAGGATGCATTTGGCCCCAAGGACCCATAAAGGCTGAAAATTCTCAAGTAGGCCCTCACTCTGTTCTTTTTCACTTCCAGCAGTTCATCTTCCCCTTGACCCCTGTCTTTAAACAAAGAAACAAGGAGATCTTGTTAGAGAAGAAACTGTGGCAAAGAAAGCTATCTCAGCCAAAGTTAAAGGAAAAACTGTTCCCTGAATGTGTTATGAAACACTGTTCTGTTATGATCAAAGCCAGAAAGTTCAAAAAGCTGCATCATCTTGAAAAGGCCTCACACTGGAACATAAAGTCTATGCACTAATTCTGAATTGGAAATCACATTTGAAAAAGTAAATCGTAACTGCTTTGTAGCTTTTCACCACCAGAGATGTTGCTGACAAGCTGGAACTTTTCTGATACTTCAAACCTCATTGAAACCACAGAGGTACACTGTCATGCAGTTTTCTTTTAGGAAGAATTTTATGTTTGCTTTAACTTGGTATACTCAGCATGAGCCACAAAACAAACCTATTAATATTGCCCACTATGGTGCTACCCAACATGGTGTGGGTCTTCACCATGCAGGCACTCCTGCAGGAGAAAGCCTATGAGCAATCCAGCATCCATCTAAAAAAACAGTCTAATAGAGCATTAGCATCTCTTATGCCACTTTCCAGACAGGAGACAGCCACAGTCAGTCAGTTGGAGAGTGCAAAGGAGCAGCAGCTTAGAAGAGAAGGGTCAGTGTGGAACATGCAGCTGTGGGGGAGCTGCTTCTGGAAAGGATAGGCTGCCAAAAAGAAGTCACAGCCTACAAAACTCATGAAAGCACTTGTTATGGACAAATTGTTCAGATTTTTATGGATGTTCTGAAGATGCTTTAATTCTCTTCCTATGATAGGAGGTTCCTTGGGTGCATCTCTGGGTGTTCCTTTTGAATTCACAGATTTTAATCTCAGATGAACCCTGCTGTGTTTCCTATATTTCTATGTCTTCATCCTGGCTAATGATATCTACTCAAATCACTATCCCAGTAGAAATTTGCCTGATGAGGTTTTATTACCCACATTTGTATGCCAATGTGATATGAATCCTTCATTTCCTTTTTGTGTCCGGTTGGTTATTTCAGCCTTTATTTCCATCTCCTGTTTGATCTTCTAGTTTCTACTCATTCCCATATTCATTTAACCCAGAAAATCTATTTTACTGAGCATATTTGCAGTCTGATAGCTCAAATAAACTATTAAACAAATGTTGCCTTAACAAACACACAAAATATTCTTGGAGCTCCTTTTGAATGCTCATGTCTTAGTCCTGACTCACTTACAGTTGTGACAGGAAATGTCACTCATCCACAGGCCAGTTATGACATGAATGTTGTTATAAGGCCAAACACATAACATGAACAACCTGCAAACAACTTAAAAGATCATGGTGATATTGAAGATAGGTACTGATCCCTAATTCCTTGAGTAAGGACATACCCAATGGGACAAGAACTCTGTGATCCTGTTCTCCTGCTTGGCATTTAGGATGCTGTTTTCAAGGACGACAAACAGACATTGTTCTCAGTAACTTCCCTGCCCTGAAACTGGGGTATGCAAGGACATTCCCAGATGGTATTTTTAGGATGGGCTGCAACACAGGAGAAAAGCCCCTCCAGAGGGCATGACAGATCCCAGGAACTTAGAACACCTGCAGTATAGCCCCAAGTAACTTAGAACAGCATCAGACCTATGTGGGTAGCCTGTCTATAAATCTGACAGGCTGTCTGCAGATATCTGGGCATGAGGGAGCAAGCCTGTCATGCTCTTAGTTTTTGTAAAGCTGCTCTCTAAGAGCTCTGTGGACACACCCAGGATGGCTCAAAATATTCAAGACAACCCCAAACTAAATTGATATCTTGATTTTCCTACCTGTAAGAAAGATAAGTTAGTATTTCATACTTAATGCAGTGCTTGACCCCTGCCTAGAACTAACCTCCCTTCCAACTTTGATGCCTTCCAAGTCTTGAAATGCAACTCTGGTGTCAAATAAATTGTTAAAAGCATAGGAAATGCTGAATTGTTGGAAAATGCCAGTCTTAGATGAAGTTTCTGGGCTGCAGGCACTGGTACAATGGTTGCTGTAGCAACAGATTGTGGCATATTAAATATAGGTACATCAATTTTTAAAAGTACTATAAAATATTTTGGTTTGTATATAAACATAATTTTTTCATCAATTTTACATTTTGCCAAAAAGCCACCCTTACCAAATGACAGTAAATGTTACAATTTAACCAAAGTAACCAAATGCCTATTCATGGTTCCTTTCCTGTATGCACTATAATAAATAGCTGCTGTCTCTCACTTCAGGAGACACAGAAAGTATTTTAAACACCTGAACTTCAAACGTGAGTTTCAACAGAGCTAGATTTGTTGGAGGAGAGCCATAAGTATTTTGCAAAATATAAACCCAAAAGCAAAATCCAAAACAGTAATCTGAAATCCCACCAGTAAAGCCACTGTGGAACACAGTATGAGTCTGATCCAGGATGAAATATCATCAATAATCATAATTCATATTTATAGAACTTAAAAATTTCTGACACCACATGCAAACATGCAGCTAAAAACAACTCCTAAAAGACCCCTCAGAGAATAATCTCAAACTCTTTCAGGATTGATAACCTTCTTTACATCACAGTCTCATCAACCTACAGCATATGCCAAGTGCATATAAAAATAACTAAAACACAAACTCTGAATCTTCAGGGCATGGGAATCATAAAAGACATTCAGAATAAGCAATGTTATAGGGACAGTCAGTGCTGCCATGGATAACCCATCAAAGAGTGCAGAATTCAGCCCTAGGCTTCCACTGCTCTGTAGTCCTGAATACTTATGTTTGTCACTGAAGTGGGATCTTCCTCTACCTACAGGAAGGGAACATCTCCACTTAGTCAAAATTCCAGTACTTAAAAACTGAGCCACATTTTATAGCTAGACTGACATGGGAACATATCCATTAAATACTATGAACCACCCACTGCTAAATAACTCTTTGGAATCACCACACAGACCCAGATGAAAGGCCCCAGGTGGCACTTGCAATCCTGGGTTATGGGAAATTGCTGACAGCCCAGAACTGAAATGGAAAAAAGAAAATGCATGGACAAAAAAACGCATGCTTACCGGTACCTTCATTTTAAAGTCATCTCGATAGAGTTTAATGCCAATGTCAGCGATTGCCCTTTGGATAAAGCGGGAGGGTCTCAGGACAAGCACCAGCTGCAGGTTTCCTGGAAATGCTCCCTGCAAGGAATAGAATTATTAGAAGGCACATTTCTACCTTACAAGGGAATTTTCAGCCAAGTGTTTCCTCACCAGTAGGGCAAAGTAGGTAGGACTCATTGCACCAGCTGGTCCATTCAGCATGTGCTCATTGTCACCATTTCCAAACCCAGCAGAAAGACTGACCCATGGATTTTACTGCCCAGCCACATGTTGTTTCATGATACAAATTTATCACAGAGCTCCAAAGTTCCTGACAAATGCCTTTCTTCTCCAGACCCTAATCCCACCAATCCCATTTGCACCACCACACCAGAATTTTTCCCATTTTTTAGGCTGCAGCCACTAGAGGGCAAAGCTGGCTGCCCACGTTGGACCGGTGAGGGAAGCTGGTAGCACAGATGGATTCCCCAGGCTGACCTACGTAACTCTGCAAAGGGTTTTGAATCTTTTTAACCTCACATATTTTTACACACAGGCAGGCACTCAACATGTTCATCAGATATGGCCCTGCCTGCAACACCCAGCCTACATCTCTCACACTTCTCTGAGCTCATCAGGCATAAAAAAGGACAATTTCTTGAAGAGAGCAGCAAAAAAGCCTGAGAATGAAAAACCTTTCTGTCTAAATACCTTGGAAGAATTTAAAGTAGCCTTTGTCATCCCACCATCTTACACCTCTGTGTGTAAGTGCTTGGTCCTCTCACAGTAAATGCTCCTAACTAAGAGATGTATAAAACCAGCTGCATTTTTTAGCGCTGAAAATCGGTGCCCAGGTCTGACTTTTGCAAATGAGATATAATAATCTATTAAGAGTTTCTGACAGAGATCCTTTACTACTGTGCAAACACAAATCCCTTAGGATCTATTTCTTTCATAAGGAAGCCATGTCATCCCTTCTCTGGGGACAGAAGGGTACCTCTTAATACTCCTCTAGGAACCAACTTCAAATTACTAAAATATATATTGCAGTCAACCCAGAAAGCAAGGAATTTGTCCTAATTCAGCAGTAAACAAGACTATGTAATTTGTCTCTGCAGCTTCCTCCCTCTCTTATTTAACACTTACTAACTGCAGGGCCAGGGAGAATCTGCATCCACAGCCAGAAAATGGGAGCTTAAAATGAGCAGTGGAGCCTGTATTGTGTGCTGAAGGTTCAGCAGACAATTTTAATTTCTAGAAGATAAATAACAAAAGCAAGCACTTACTGCTATTCGTGTCAGGGATGCCTTGACTGCACTCCATTTGTCCCGTCGTCTGTCTATGATGATGATGAATCCGATGCTGGCAGCCTCCAGACTGCAAAACAGATGAAATAGGTGTGCTGGGTTACAGGGAGACACTCCTGTTCCAAGGCAGAGAACTGCAGCAAAACACAGCCTCCGTCACACCACGCTCGGAGCCCATTATGAAAACACAACGTACAGTGGAAAGAATGAATATTTGGCAGAAACACACATGAAAAGGAAAGCCAGAAAAATTTCTCTTTCCAGCATAAGGCTAGCAGCTTACACAAAACATGAATATTTTATCTGCTGAATCTCTCAGCTGCTGTGCTACTCTGCTGCCAGAACATGAATAGTTCAGGATCACAAATTACACTGTGCTCCTTTGAAGACAAAACCCCCAGATTTTTTTTTTTTTCTGCAAAATTAGACACCCCTCTACAGTTTTCATTCTCCAAGTATGCTGACACCTGACAGGGCACTGAGCTCCAGGGCATCAGTATCCCCTGACTTGTGTACACAAAGCCCCAGGAATTCTGGTAGGCAAAGCAGAAAATGAAGAGTTCTATTTTGCCAATCACAAGCTTGTTCTGGAGTTACAAGTCATTCAAAACTATCCTTTTCAACATATTGGCTAGAATAACGGTTCCTGTTCCTTCTCAGTGCTTTTCAAGGAGGATCAAGGAAGAAGTGATTTGGTGTTCCATTCCACCTATGTAGACCTCATGAATACCCCATCCTCTCTTTCCCTCTCAAAAATCCCACTCTGTAGTGCCAGGTTTCAGTGGGACTGCTCTTCTCTCTGCCTTCCAAGAGCACTCAGCATTGGAGAAGCTAAGTACACACTGAGTGTCCAGAACCTTCACTAAAGCAGAACAGCTCAGTCATCTCAGAAAAACCAGAGGCAGGCAAGAAGAGTATAAATGTAATAATCAGAGAACATACTGCAATCAAACATATCATCACATCTTAAGGAAAATAAATTGTTTAAAGTATCTCCTTGATCCCTTGTCCACCATCCATACAAGGACCAACTCAGGAACACTGTTTCCATGGGTCATTTTATCCAAACTCACGTCAATAATCTACTGAAGACTATCAACACAGTAACAACTCTGAGCTCTTGCTACAGCTCTGCAGGATCAAAAACTGAAAGTCAAAGTATTGTGCAAAACTGAGATGCCACGAGAATGCTCCTAGTAGTTCATACTGATAACAGGAAAAACTACTGAATTTTCCAATTCAGTATTTTTACAACATTCCTCTAAGGATTACAAAATTCAATGACAATACATGACCTTTCCTCTTTAGTAGTGCAACATGCAACTCTCTGCAGAGGACAGAAAAGATGTTTGCAGCAGTGCCTCTAAAGCACAGGGAAGAGAACCTGTTTTACCTTTTATAAATACACAAATGTATACATACTCTTCAGTAGTCTTAGATATAAACAAACACATACCTATCCTTCAGTAGCTCAACAAATATTCCACAGAATAAAGTTCTTTGATAATGTTCAAATAAAGGCAACAAAGATATTGTGTGTATTGCATATTGTTAAAGAAAGGGTGAGAAACTAAATGCAAAAGTCTCAACCTGGGTCCTTCACATTCAAATGATGTTCAGCATAGCATCAATTGTAGTCACTGAGATAAGCCAATGATACTTGTATGTTTGCTTTTTGATGTGGAGGGTTTTTTTGTTGTTGTTTTGCTTGTGGGGTTGTTTGTTGTTGTTGTTGGGGGAGTTTTGTGGATTTTTTTCTTTTTAGCTAGGTAGGACTGACTGAAGTTCTAAATTTAACCAGGGAAACAGAGAGAGTGTCAGCAAGTGATCCTATTTCAACCAGCATGCTGAAAGGCCATGCCAAGGTCTGAATGTCATTTGGCACCAAGGGCTGAATGCAGGCACACAGCCACAGGAAGAGGCCTGGCTGAGATGGCAGCATCAGCACAAGTGGATGCCCAGCTGAGAACCCCCACTCCAGTCTGCATCCAGAGAAAGTTTGTTTAAGAACAAACACACACACACACACACACACATTCTATCAATGTTTTCTCAGTATCAGTACTGTAATATCTCTATCCTCATTATGAAAATGCATTGGGGTTTTTCCAGTTCTCTGAAAAGGAGGGTTTGAAGACAATCCTGAAAAGCAGATAAACATCAGGTTTACCTCCAAAATAAATTCTGGCACATTTGCCTAGATCTACAGATGTCTGGCAGAAAGGTTCTCTTTCCCTGAATGAAATATCTGCAATCAGCAGAGCTCTTATGTTCTCAGCTCTTTATTCAGGTTAGCCCTTGAACACTGACTTGAGATGTTGAATTTCCTGACCTCTTTTGGAAGGAGAGAAGGACACCTGTTTATCAAAGTACTTAATACATGTCAAGCTAAAGAGAAAGGAATTCTGGCCATGCAATAAAGCAAGTAAAAAATGGCTTTCTGGAGCTATCTAGTGCATGCACAGAGGTATGCATGTACATACACCATGTTACATAGTGTCTGTGGATGTGTTTGTATACAGACTCCTTTGGAGGAGCACTCTCATGAGCAGGTGTTGAACCACAGGGAAAATGAATCAGGTTACAAGAGTCTCACTGGGCTGATCTTCGGTCCTATCATGTTTTGTCAGATGAGCATATAAGATTATTCATTCCAGAGGGACTTAGAAAGTTACTAACACTAAGTGAAGTTATCTGCAATCACAGAGCTTATCTCCACAACCAGCATGAACCTTACGGTACAGGATATACTAAATCAGACATTATCAAAGACAGATATTCTCTCTACATTTACCTGGAAAAGGATGCTGATTTCTCTGGTTCACTAAGCTCTGAAGACAGAAGTATTTTCTATGATAAATAGGATTAACTGTTTTTCAAACTATACCTCATCTCACCTGATTCATGGTCATACCCTTTGTAAGTCCAGAAGAGTTAGAGACAGTTCTCTGTTCTTAGTCACTTTGTTGGATACCTTCACATCCTTCTGGAGAATTAAAGTAAAAGGTGGACTACTAGCAATAAAACTACACACAGGAATACTGTTATATTACACACAGCACTATCTAGTACAGTAGTGCTGGCAAAATTAACAACGCACACCCTTTACTGCTTGCTGATGTATATGGCAGAAACATTGTGTGCAAGGACCAGCCAACTGCAGATTGACAGAGCTCTTCTGTACCCAAACAGGTCCACTACTTAGGCCTCATTGAGTTTGAAATCTATTTAATTATGTCATAAATCACACAAAGCTTGCTGCTCAGGTTCTTCTTCTAAATTAACATCTTTCTTCCTCATTATTTACAGATAGTGGAAAGTTTCATATAGTGACTCAAGAAATGCAGGCAATCTTTCTAAAAGTACTGCAATAAAGACTAGAAAATTTCCTGGAAAATTCACATCCCTTCAGTGTGGTCTATGATCAAACCTAAGAGCCAAATCAATGTGCTGGTATGCAGAAAATGTACCTTGAAACTCCAGCTAGTCACTGACCTTGAACAGGTCATTTAGAGCAAACTGAACAGTCACTCACTCAACACAATTTTTTGTAGAGTGAGATACTACCAACATTTATCTCATCATCTGTAAAATAGATATATCACAGCTCTCCTGACTTACAAATTTTTGAACCTCAATTCTTCATTCTTTGCACATGGCTCTGGGATTCCTCAGGAGAAGAGAAAACACAGAACAGAAACTGAGTCAAAGCAAAAGTCCATCTAGCTCAACACCCTGACTCCACTGTTGGTAGATAGTGGCTACTGAGACAAAGGCAGCAGGAAAATGAGGACAATATTTCTCTTGGTATATTCTCCCAGGTCCCAGCATTAAGGAATACATTAATTTCTTCAGCCTGGGTTTGCATTTGAGCCATTGTGTCCAGCTGCCATTTTCATGAATTTAGCTAATTTCTTTTGAATGCATCTGTGCTTTTGGGCTTCACACAGGCTGAGGAAGCTCAAAGGGTTTCTGTCTATCATGTTGACAATGTAACATGCTGGTTTCCTGACAAAATCACTGAGAATCATCTCCCTGCATAGCAAGTACAAAGTACTGAAAAACTAGTTTTGTGCTTTTCTCAGCCACTGCTGCTGTTGTATATAACCTGGGGCTGGTCACCCTCCCAGTCCTGAAGGAGTAAAGAAACACTCAAAACAGAGTTTCCCCTGGTGGAACAGAAGTCCCACAGAGCAGAGTGAAACAATGAACCTGTTAAGTTCACAATATGTGGTTTCTCTCAGCTTGCTTTGGCAACTCCTTGGTAACAACTTTGTCAGATACATGTAGCTGGAGCTATAAAACTTCCTACTCAAACTTGAAGGAGGCACATTTTCTGCTATGATCCTCTAAGCACCTTTTTGCAGAAGACCACAGAAAGTGATAAATCATTGCTGTGCTTCTCACTAGTACAAACAGCCATAGTCTAGAAACAGGATCAGGGGACTGAAAAAATATTAAGCTCTCTTAGATAAGTAAAAAGTAATTCAGCAGTCATGCATTAGCACATTTCCTCAGAGGAGAAGTCTGTTTGTTTCACTATCCTTATAAAGCTGCAGGCAAAAAGCAAGGAAAACATCCTGGCTGTGGAGCAATCTCCAAAGAAATGAAGTACCTGAAAGCGCATGGTACTTGCTAGAATCCTGTCAGTGGGGAACCTCACTTGCTTTCTCAGCAAAGGGAAAGCTGCATAGAAAGGTGCACTCAGAGAAAAAGCAGTCATGGGGCCTATGTAAGTATGGCTCCTTCTGAAGCAGCCCTTCCCTTCTTACATCCAGTGCCCCTGAGGCTTTTCACAAACAGCCCCTCTTAGCTCCATTTGATCTGCCATCTTTGCTGCTGCTCTTCAGATCTATCCCTGTTCCAATTCAGTTCAACCTGCCCTGTGTAAAGCTTTCTTTTCCATGAAAATGACACAATTCCTAGGACCTCCAGTAGATAGAGAAATTTCATAATGACTGGAGAATGCAGAGGCACTGGTATGTCCTGGTAGGACCACTAAAATCAGTGAGCCACTGGGGAAACAACAGAAATTTGTGCTTAGTCTCACCTGGGAATGCTGGTTAGATAAGTGACCACGTTCAGAAAATCATCATCAGGTATCTCACTGAATCCTGCAAATTCTGGAAAGGTTATAATGGGTGCACCATCCTTCCCTCTTCCTCCTGCAAAATACAAATCATAAAGTTTAGAAGGTGATTTTATAATTTTGGACAGACTGGTCAGTAGTCAAGTGAGACAGACTGGCATATTTCTCCTTGTAAAGTACCCACATCCAGTAATCATCATCAGCTCTCATATGATACAACTCACTGTAGTTTCATTACCTCTGTTTACATTTACAGATGAGATTCTAGCCTTTGAGATTCTCAGCTTTTTCATTAATCTTCTGCACAATTCTGATTAAGTGCTTTTTTTGTTACTTTCCATTTCCAAATAATTTCTTGTGATAATATTAAAATATTTCCTTATGTATAGGTACAGGACTCTCCAATTCCTTCTAGACATCAAATGAAATGAAGTAACAGAACACACAAGCTTTGAAGACACACATATAGCCCAAAATACAAGCTTGGGACCAATCCAGGTTTAGGTCTTTCCTTGAGAATGCTCAAATGCATGGAGGAATTTTGTTTACAATGTTTATTTGCATCAAACCTCTATTAAACAGGACAGGAAATTGCAAAACCCATAATCAATAAGGTTGAGAAAGTCCCTTTCTGAGGGATTCCCTGATCCAAATTCAGGTAGAGCTACAGAAAGCATGGAGCCAAGCCCCCTGGAAGCAAGCAGCTTTTACAGTTCTCCTGACACGATGCTCAGCCCCAAGAGCCACTGTAGCCCACAGCACAAACCCTGTTTACTTGTAGCACCATTCCTAACTTGATTCCACTAATAAATCTGGGCATTGCTCCAACCACACAGAAGTTACCACACAGAGGGATTTTCTCACCAGCTTGGGCTCAAAGCTGAGAGCAGACTGAGGAGGCAGCAGCACATAAAGCAGCATGATGAAACAAAGTTTTGTTACAGGTACCTTACTGCTTAGTTCTCCTTAAACAGGGTATTAAGGAAATGCTTTTCCCTGAGTCTTTCTCCTTTCTGTGCAATCTTTATGTAAACCTATTTTTTGCACCAGGCTCAGGAATTCGCTAACAATCCAATACTGAGTGTATTTCTGCTGTAGACACAGTTTTCTGAGTCATTCATCACACACAGAGGACTCTTGTCCAAGGGATAGCCAGACTCTGGGCTTCTTTTTAGTAAAGAGGAAGCTGTGAGCCGATAAATTACCTTCCTCAGGAAAATATCCAATAAAGTATCCCATTAGGAGCATGAGAGTGGGAAAAAAAAACCAAAAATAAAATAATAAAAAAACCAACCAAACAAAAAAAACCCACCAAAACAAAAAAAACCCAAACAAACAAAACCAAAACAAAACCAAAAAAACCCCACCACATTCTCATTCCTTGAAAGGACCCTCTAAATCCCTGTAAATAATCCCTGTTTCCAGGCTGCTCCTATCCACTGTTGCCTTTCCCTGTTGATAACCACAGCTGATGCCACAAACCAGTTTCTCCTGCTCTGTTGGTGGTCATTGCTAGGAGGTGCTCCAGTAATTCCTGGCTGTTTCTCTGTAGAGTGGACAGTCCCTTGCTAGTCCTGATCCTGCCTCTGCCCTATCCACACACCCTCAGTTGGATTATTTAAAATCCTTTCTGTGCTGTCTGGCCATGGAGAGCTGGAATGATGCAGAATACAATGTTTGCACAAGGTAAAACTCAGAGCTCTAGGAAACAGGAATTTTGGACAAGGAAACCCTTTCTCTTCCTGACATCTGGTGGCATGGTATCAGCACACTACCTTTAGCCCCTCTTTTCCTGCCTGAAGATTGATTATTACTTTGATTACACCTGAAAATGATTCAGTTGTGTGAAATCATTCACTAAACTCACCTTGCTAGGGAGAAAACAGGCCTACAGAGACTCAAATGTCTCTCAGCCAAGAGAGAAAGCAAGAAAGCCATTATTCACACTGCACTGAATTGGATTTCAAATGCTGAGCAGATCCACAGCAGATCCACAATGACCTCCCCACTGCCTTAGGGTGGTGCCAAATGCTGATGCATGGCAGCTGCATTTCCAGCTGCACTGTCTGCAGTCAGCAGTGATGTAGAATATGCTGTCTTGTTAATTTAGTCAGGCTTTCCCCAGACTGCTGCACTCTAGACCAGGGGCTCCAGCCAGCAGTACCCAGCTGGTTTGTTACAGATTCTCAGTGACATCTCCTGGACACAAACAGTAACAGCCAGGAAAATGTAATACCAAATTTGTCCGCTGTCTCTTTGTGCAGAGCTCAGTATGCGCCAAGATATTTCATACCTGGTATCTTGTGAACATTCACAGGATTTTGGGCACGAAACTTAACCATTCACATACTTGAAATATGTGAATGTACCTTAAATGAGGGAGATGTAGTAACTTGGAATATTTTGGTTTCAAGCAGCAATATTTGCCACTGGAGGATAAGGTAGAGATTCCCCTGGATCCCCTTCTTTAACCTCTGATTGTTTAGGTGCAGTTATACTCAAGATTTGATCAAACTAGAAGTCTCAAATGGTTCTTCACATGCTTCTGCTGATGAGGATCTCTTTGTGTCCCTTTTATTTCACCTCCTGCATCTCCATTCACACATGTGCTCTTCTTCCCCTTGTCTCTTCCCTGAGCTGGATGAGGCAGGCTGAGATGTATGTGGGTGTGTGTATTCTCCTATAAAAAGCCATCCAAATAATTAATGTAAGCAGACTGAACATTGACTTCTTCCTTTCACCACTGACAAAAAATCTAGGACACTTAGGAGCAGTCTCAGACTGAACATTCAACTAAGAGTCAGCAGCTCCTGCCTCTGACTAAGCCACAGGCCCTTAACAGCTCCTGATCTCCATCTCATTTTCCAATGTGAAGGCAACACTTCCTGCTGCAAGCACACCAGAACCCTGAGATGACTCAGCAGAGATGTATTTCAGACAGAGAAATAAAGAAGGAAATCTGCAGTTCCTGCCACACCAGGAAATTAGGGGGAAGTTTGAGGGAATTTGGTCTTCAGAAATTAAGTGCTATGATGAGAAGAGAGCAGAAATGTCTGAAGTGTTGTATGATAAGAAATACCACAAATATGTTACAAATGAGTTTTTCCTGCCCATATCTGAACTTAAAGCAGTAGTTGAGTTACAAAGGAAAATGATCCATATCCATTTGGATAAGGGATATAAGGGAATCTCCTTAAATACCAAGGGTGTCTGTAAAACTCTTTCTTCAGTATAAGTGAGCCATTCCATACATCTAAATGTTAATGCCATTTTTCCCCTGACACTAATCCAAGAATTGCTGCAGTATGCAAATTTCTGCAGAATGTGAATTGACAAGCTGCAGCCCTTTTTTTCCTTGGCCATCAACCTTTCTTTCTAGGGAGTTGCCTCAAGATTTCTTCCAGTTCTTGAAATACTTTAGCTAGATATTACTCAATGTCTTCAAAGGGCAGACAGCACAAACTAAAAGTCAATAAGGAGACTCTTCTGTCAGCACCATGGCCATAAGGATTGAGTCATGGAATTTGGCCCCAAGAACTCTCTGTATACCATCCTTGTGCTTGTTGGGACTGTGCATAATCCCTACATTCCTGGGCACTCTTCTCACTTTTGAGAAGAGTCCAGCTGCCAAGTAGAAGAGTTTACAGCCCATCATAAGTAAGGCAGACAGGGACAGAACAAGCTCCAGCAGCTCCACAGGACACCAGAAGAAAAAAATAGTCCTCAACTGGAAAAAAAAAAAAAAAAAAAAAAAAGTACACTATCTATAAAATGAGGGCATGAAGAGGGAGAAGGGATACAGAAGTGCTGAAGAGAGTGAGCCAATGAGCCCAGCAGAGGTGAGAGGGCATACCTTAGAGCTGCCAGAAAGACTCTGCTATTCAGCAGCGTCTGTGCAGCTGGGCATGGAACCCAAGGACTGTCAAGAGCAAATGCACTCTTGAGGCATGAACTGAGCCAAGAAGCTCCAAGGGAGAATCAAGCAATACCTTGAGTTTAGTGCAGTCAGAAGCAAAAGCAAAGACACACTGAAAAACAGGCATCAGCACCGTAGCTGTGCTTGGCGGTGTCTCCATGCAATGCACTGGTCTCTGCCTCTCTGATTTGCAGCTTTTCCAGGCACCATTAGATGCCACCCTGCAGCACTCTCCAAGCAGCACAGCTACCCCAGCACCTCCTGGCAGCTCCAAATGCTAGTGCCCAGCCAGGGAATCCACAGCTGGTGGCAGTGGCTGTGCCAAGCAGCAGCCAGGAAAGCTGCAGGTCCAGGCGGCAGCAGGGAAGGTTCCGGCTGTCCTGCAGCTGAACCAACGTGAGGCTCTCTCCTGAGGCTCTCCTCTCGCCTTAGGGCAGCCAGGCTATCCCACAGACAGCTTCTGTGGCTGGGTCACTGCTCCTCAGCCACAGCCCAGGCTGCTCCATCATAAATAGCCACAGAATTTTGCCTGCAGAGGAAACCCAATCAGATTTTTGTCTCCTATACAGACCTGAGCTCAACAAGTTGGAGCACAACTGAAGCAAACCACAACAGGATTTAGAAGAGCAGAGGGCTGAACTGCCTGGTGAAAGGCATGATTTCCAAGGAAAATATTACTTGACCTGCCTGGTTTGCAGAATGTGAATGACAGCACCTCATTCCTCCTTTTCCTGGGCACACTCCTTAATTTGTTCAGCTTTTCCTCTTCACTTGTGGCCCAAGGGCAAAGGGAAAGGAAGAACCTAGGTGACAGGTCAGAAGTCAGAGTGAATGTGGAAGGTTAAGAAATTTAGAAGAAATGGCACACAAACAGTACCAGGGTTGTACAAGATACCCCTGGTAATGGGACCTTCACTCACTCTTGTGTGTGCCAATCCCCAAAGTCCCAGGACACAGAGCAGCATTCATAGCTGCTCCTGCTAGACAGACTTTCCAGCAGCCAATGCAGCCTGGATAGCTGCTGCAGTGAAGATGGGCCAGAATTCAACTGTGGAAACAAAACAGTTGAAGTACTTAGGGAAGGAATATATCTGGGGGAGAAAAGGTTATGGCAGCTGAGAAAATTTAATTTTGCTTTGCAGTGTAAAGGGTGTGATTGACAAATGAGGTGTGAGTGCTGAATTCCGAGAGCTCTCACGGCTGAAGCTGTATGTTGGTATGACTGATGTAAAAGCAGAAAGCAATCACAACTGCAGGCCAAGGTCCTTAACACAATAAGGATCTTAGAAAATTTCCCACTCCTCAGTTCTAGCTCTCCCATGCTTCCCACATAGGCACAAAAAATATCCATGGTTGAGACGATCAGGACTGAAGTCCTATTCTATAGGCAGCAGCTCTTTTAACTAGAGATCACCAAATATGCTGACTCCCTTGGGAAATAAAACCAAAATGAAAAGCACCAGCCCAACAAAGGTGCTATAATCAGGACAAGTTCCAAAAGTTAGTTTGCAGGTTTCCAGAGCTCACCTCCCCAGCCTGCCACAGACACTAACTCATCAGTTAGTATTGGAAAGTGTTCTCTCAAATGCTGCTGACACGTGCAGGCTTAACTGCTTGGGCCTGCCCACATACAGAGAGCTCCCTGAGTCATCAAGCTCAACCCTGACTACAGTTCATCTCCTGGGTCAGACAGCCAAAAAGTCTAATGATATCTTGGCTGAAGTTTCACAGCTTTGGTCAGGTCTTGCTTTTTCCAAGCTCAGATTTTTTTGTTTTCCATGTTGATTAAGGGTTGTGAGTGATCAATTTCTCATTAAATCATTTTCCTGAGTCTCAATTTTTATAAAAGATCCAAACTGTCCTTTTGGCAAGGTCAGGCCAGGTTTTCCAAAAGGCTCACCTTAAACAGGAAGCAGATAGCCAAATACCCTCCAGGCTTTGCAAATTAAATAAACTGGCTTCTGAGTCAGTTACCATTTTCAGATATACTCTCCCAAACACTGAAGTCTGTTAACAGGAGCAGAACACAAAGAAAATTATTCTCTCTGCTAATACACTTCGTGACAGTTTGTCTAATATAGTCGTGATTTAGCAACATGATCTATTATTGCTGCAAATGGCAGATCGGGCTCTTCGACAGAATAATTACAGATAACAGGCTGTGAAGCTGAAGATAAAAAGGTGTTGTGGGGAAGCAATGATACAAGTTCCAAGAGCATATTGGTACAGCAGGACAGAAAAAGTATTTTACTAGTGGTTCTTTATTCTTGAGTAAAAATTGGTGTGCTAGAATAACCAGGCTTTCAGTACTACCCAGCTTTGTGACCTAGTTCCCTTAACAGCTACAGGAAACACACAAACCTAGCTGAGCACTCCTGTGTTGTCACAGCTGTAGTCCCATAATTGAGAGTTTGGTTTTCAAGGAAAGGAAAAAGGCAGTAGCAGTATCAAAGCTAGAATTTAACCACAAGAACCAGTACTCCTACCAGATCTCACAAGCTTAGCAGGGCTAAATCAACACATGGGAAAAGAGATGACCAAAGTAAAATTACATGATAAAGGACATTGCCACATTACACTGCAGCCTTTTCCATGACCTCAGTGGACCAGGGAAGGGTTTGGAGAGTTTCCCTGTTCTTAGCATGGAGTAAGGTCTTAATTAGTCTGGAAGGTGGAGGACCAGGACAAACAGGAGGCTGTTAGTAGGAAATATGTATATTATAACTAGATTCTGACATAATAAAACACCAAGTCATTAGACTTGTTATGTAATTCCTACCATCTGCTCTGAGACCACAAGACAGTCAGATCCTCTCAAGAAGTTTGCACACAGCAACAGTGGAGAGAAGTGTTTCTAATGAGTCATGTCCAGAGAAAACAAAGAGCCCTTGATTCAATCATTTTCCTCTTTCTTTTCTGCTTTACTGCAAGGAAACTTTGTGAGTCCACTGCATCTGCCTCAGGTGCCAGTTGTTACTAAAAAGGTGGTATTAAGCAAAGAAATACTAACTTATGACAAAGTTTACAACAGTCAACCACTGACTTCCGTTATCACTGGACAAATGCATTTGGGGTCCACAGGATGAGCAGGAGAGCTTGATGAAGCTAGAGGCTGGTGGAGTAACACAAACCAGACTCAGCACTGCAGCTCTGGGCTCTGCAGAGGCTTGGAAGAGGTGACTGGCTGCACTTTGGTGGCTGCAGCCTCCAGACTGAAAGAAATAACCCCATCTAGTATAAATCAGTGTATACCACTGTTAGGAAGTTGCTCAGAGAAACATAATTCATGTCCATAACACTCTACAAGAACACTGGAATTGCCTTTTGCTGCCCAAGATGGTGACACCAAAGAACAGAAGGGTTTTGTTTGGTTTTTTTTCCGGACAGTGGCTACTGAGCTGCAACATTTCAATATGGAAAATCAGGAAATAGGCTAAGTACCAAATTTTCAACCACCATGTAGGCAAGCACTGAAGCACCAAAATATTTGTGGTTGCTCATACCTAATGAAAAGCAGCTAACAGCATGCTTTGGGAAAAAGCTACAGAGCCATATGGAAAAAAAATCTAAATCAAATGAGATCATTTATGTGTGAATTACTTTAATAAGTGAAATGAGAAAGAAGAATGTCCAGTTTTATTTTCATTGCATTAAAAAACCAATCTTTTTCTAAAGGAGAAAGAAAGTTACATTATTTAGAGAAATGCATTTTTTGAAAAGCATAGTAATGTCTGACTTGCACCTAAAGTTCTCTTTGCAGGAGGCAATAGAGGGAGAGTAAGGAAAATTCTAAAATTCTTGCTATGTTTCACCTATGACTCACCAGTGGTCACCAACAGAATAAGATACTGGGTCAAAGGAGCTTCTAAGCCTTCCTTATTTTCTTCACATGCGACCATGGGGATTCTGGAGTGGAGGCACCCAAGTTTCCAAATTTAGCTGACTAAAGTCAACTTCGAAACTATGAACTACACTGCTCTGTTTTATAGTAGGATACTATTTCTGGACTGTACTGAGGAGATTTTAGATAAGCCTGAAAATTCTTAAAATGTGATTTGTTATTTAGGTAGATGGGGGCATGAAAGACATCTCACTCTCCTTTGGTATTTGTTGTTAGTACTTCTATGCTGATGAACCAGTAATTTGCTGATTCCTAACAAAAAAGCCCCTCAGCCTTGCCTTCTATGAAGAGCTATGTTTCAAGTCTTTAAGCAGCTCACATTTAAACAGCCTCATTTAAACACCTTTCTCATCACTTCCAAGAATAAAAATAAGATAAATGTGAAAAGTTGAATTTGCTAAAATAGCAGGTGAGAATACAGGCCCTGCTGAAATTATGAGTCCATAAAGAAAAATGAAAATTCTTTTTTTATGTCTACCCTTGACATTTTTATTCCATGTTTAATGTTCTAGCTGGAACTGGATTTTTCCTTCCTGTTTAGTAAACCACTTTCCATAAATTACTCATTACATAGTGTATTCAGCTTTTGCTATTAGTCCCAAATGTTGCAAGGTAATGGGGTTCAAAAATAGCAATCCTCCACATTTTACTGTGTAGGCAATTGCATATGAGGCACTCAATTCTCAACAATTCCTACTTACCCTGCAGTGAGCACAACAGTGGGATGAATAGGGTTTGAGCAGTTCAATGCAGTTACAGACCCTGTCCTGCCCAGAGGGCTGTGTTCATTAGGAATTCTAGGAAGGTGGGACCCTGAGATGCTTTACTGCAGAGAAGGCAGTTGGTTCCACCTCTGCTCAGTCAATGCCCTCTGCCTAATGCAAACCCTATAGTTATTGAACTTAGGAAACTGCCACAAGATCCTACCTGCAAGCCTCCAAAGTCAAGTTTTAATGCTCAGAGCTACATAAAGAATTCTGTGTAAACTAAATTTGGATTTCTTTTGGCAACTTGGAATGCATTTTAAATTGCAAAGACACTACAAGGACTGGGCCCGCTGAGCTGACTATTTCCAGAGCTGGGTTGGTGCACTTTCTGCACTCTATACCCAGTGTTCCTCTCCACTAAGAGGTATAAGCTTTTCAAGAGGACCTTCTTATAATTTCATTATATTAGCATTTTGTGCAAAATCATGAAACTTCACTGTTTCTATGGGGAAGACGATAAGAAAATTCTGAATTTTCTTATTTGCAGAACAGACAGAAATAGAGACAAAAGGAGTTGCCAGAGGCCACGTAGTCAACAGCAGAGACTGTTTTAGGATCCAGATAAGATTTTATCATCTACAGTATCCAAAATAATGTAATAAATAATTTGCCAAAAATTTCAGTATCAGCTCCTTCTTTGGGGAAGGAACTGCGTCACTTTGTGTGATTGCAAACTTCAGGCAAACAAAGGACTATGTAATAATCATATCTTTTAAAGATTAGAACCTTACACTTTAGCAATGAATCATTTCTAAAACAAAGGCAAATGAGGAAGAAGGGGGAGGTAATGAATAGATCCCTGATAGACCATAATATTTTCCCACAAACAAGATGCTTGGACATTGTGCAAAGATATGTAGTGAAAGTTTTGTTTAATTTCTTGCTCTCTATATATGTTCCTCCCAGTCCATTGTGGAGATTATGGAAAATTAACTTGCCTTAAAAAAGCAAGTACAGCAGCTTGGCACTTATCCATACACTGTGAATATCTGATTGCAGCAGCACTTCCCAGGAGCAATATGAAAATACTACTGCAACTGCTGTACAGAGCTGAAGGGTGACAGTCAGCATGACACATTCCAGTATGTCTCCAAGAGAATCACAGAGTGTCATTACCAGTAACTTCTTACCTGACAAGATTGCAAATTGCCTGTGCAGCTGCTCTATTATATCCACTGCCACCAGCGGCCGTATCTCCTGCTGCATGATTTCATCTGTGCAAGGGAAAACAGAAATCTTCCGTGAGTTCATAAAGCCTAAATGACTATTTATTCCTCCTTTAACAACCCAGCAAAACAAAGGTGACACTCAAAGTAAAGAGCCTAGCCAGACTATTGCCTCAGCTATTATATTACGATTGTAGTAAAGATTATGGTACTTACGGAATCTCCTCTTCAGCCTATTAACTTCATCTACTGCCTTGTGATTTCAGAGAGGGCTTTTCATAAACCTGCTCCAGGGAATCTGCCAGAGTTTGCCACAGGTTTGTTCAAGCTGACAGCCTGCTCCTTACCACTTCAGGTTCCGTATTAAGTCACTGCATTTGGCCTCCCACTACAGCAGTTTTTCAGTCTTTGAAAGAGTGAAGTCTACTCCACAAACATGGCCCTGTTCCACCCTGAACTCCCCGAACTCTGCTGGAGGACGTTGTGTAGCCAGCCAATCCACAGCAGTTTCCTTTCCTGATGCTTTTTCCGCTATAAGCAAATACATAGTAAAAGGAGGAAATAAGGGGCTGTGAGACTTTCTTCTCATGAAAACAAAGCCTGTTATTTTAACTGAGCCTGTTAGTTTAAACACTAAAAAGTTAAAAAGTAACTTGGCAAGCAGCTGGGCAAAAAATGACCTCAATTTTTGTGTGTGATCTATGGAGTGAAAAGCAATTATAGTCTCACATGGAACTAATTTGATCACTTTTTGTAACAGGTGCACACAGTTAATTTCCCCACTCTTCACACCAGTCTAAAGCAGCAACATTTACAAGAAATATCTGCCTACTTAACTGGTAGGATCAAGGTTTATGTTCTAATAACACTTATTGGAACTGCTCCTTTAGCCACTGTACAGAACAACAACCAGTCCCGATGTTGTGCAGATCACCTCTAAGTACCCAGACAACAGGTGGAAGGAAAGAAGCTGGGTCTAGATAGACCACAGACCTGAGTCAGGGCAGGCAGTTGCCTCATTTAAGCACCAAAATCGTTACTGATGTGAATTCAACAAAGGCACGGAAATACTTTTGTGCACCTGGTTTTAAACCAACAGTTCAGAAACAGAAAGGGAGGTCAGAGAAGTTACAGATTAGCTTCTTCCTCCTGCATCCTAGTCTACTGCCCAAAATACCTTCTCTGTCTTGCTTTCAGACATCCACTCTGATACTTTCCAGAACTAGGGATTCTAGGTTTTAAATGACACAATATCATTTGGAAAGTTTTATGTTCCTTTTCAATCGCTTCACTAATGCCTTGAGATGAAGCAGCTGAAGAGCTTGTGTCACAGCAGGTGACACACAATGTGAAAAGAAGTTGCACAGATTTTGGCTGATGCACAAAAAAGGCAATGATTCCAAAAAAGTGGGAGGGGGAAAAAGTCAAGGAGGAAGATTTTGCAAATCCTCCTTTTGAACTTAATAGGAGAAAATGCAAACTCAAATAAATGATGTTTTTGATGTGGGACCTTCTTTTCCATCCTGTTTTTGAGGCTCTCTATCAGCTTTCTGATTCTTGACATTGTGGGTGGCAAAAGCAACCAGGAATCACAAAGGAGCTTGGTGTGAGGGATTGTTATACATTGCCAAGCAAACAAAAGTGTAGCAACCCATTAAATTTTCCTCTTTTACTCTGCAATTTCTTCCATGCATATCCAGAATGGGACTTGGGGGGGGGGGGGGGGGGGGGGGGGGAGAGAGGGGGAATTGCAGAGCAAATAAAGGAAGCAAGCTGTTTTTGAATATGCAAGGTTATGTTTTAGAAAGTAAACAATACTATAAGCCTGATTTCTCTCTAGCTGCTGAAGAACAGCTTGTTGATAACCCTGTTTGAAGTCAGATAAATACAACACTCAAGGAACCAGCAGCAAAAAAGTCCTGTAATCTATTAACACAATTCTCAACAGATACTGAGAAGTGTCCCCAGATTATCGGTCCAAAGATTCTACCATCCTTCAGAAAGTACACTGGAAGTATTTCTGAAACACCATAATAGTGACAGATTTGCCCTTTTCAAAACAGATGTTGGCAGCAAGATGAAGTCAGAAGAGAGAAACTAGTGACTGTAGCTGATTGTAACCAAAAAGCAGTCAGCATAGAAGTACGGGAAAGGAAAATCAAATTAATAATTTAAACAAAGCTTGGATCAAAACATCATCCATTGAAGGAAATTCTTCTGATTTAATCCAGAAGGTGCAAAGTTATTGTGATATCTGTGCAGTCCCACAGGTGTCAGGTGGTCAGGTACACTCAGGTTTAACCAGGACTGAGATTATGCCAAACACCTTCAAAAATAAAAAAAATATTTCTACAATGGATGACAGGATCACAAGAGAATTTTCAACAGAAATGGAAAGTTAACTAAAAAAGGTGCTACCATCTCTTACCTCTCAGAGACTTGCCCAGCCCTCCAGGGCAACAAGTCTGCCAGTAGTTTAGTTTGTATCTGGTGTTTGCCAATATGAAGACATCATTAATATCAACCAGTCTTGAGCAAAACCAAAATTTCACTGCCCACCCAACCCCTATTTAACTTTATTAGCTTGCTCTAAACATAGCTTGGTTTCTGGTTTCTAAATATCCTTTTTATTTCAAAATATTTTTGTGATGTAAGGATAAGATGAAGTAAAAGAAACAAAAACTGCAGAGTGCAAGTTAGGTCTCAGCAAATCCCATCTGGGCAAGACAAACCACATGGGACTGCTGTAAACCCACACTCAGGAGGAGATGTTCAGATGATGAGAAAGGTGGTACAAAACACATTCAGTGATTTAGAAATCACACATTCAATAAGTCAGTACAGTTCACACACTGACATGCTGGGAAAAACAATTGGAGCAGAAGAAACCAGCAGGAGGCTGAGAAAATGAGAAAACCAGGGAAGGTGCCTCATGAGCCCAAACAGCAAATCAGATCATGTGGCTATGAAATGTCAGCAGCTGTAGGCAACAGCACTCAAGGTCCCATTTGCCCATTTGTATCCTCCTCTAGGACAGTGCTTAAAGGTGGTCACTCCCCAACATGGAAGAATTTGTAGCACCACCACAGCACAGACCTTACAATAGAAGTCCCAGTCCTTGGAAACATGATTGATTACCTGGGGCTGCTTGAGGAAGTTTTTAATCTTTGACTAGAAGAAAAGATTGAAAAAAAATCTTATAAGCAAACAAAAAGATACAAGTCTAAGTTTGTTTCAAAGCTATGACATTTGCCTAGCACCAGTGAGCATTAACCATTTATAGCTTCCACTAGCTTTATCCCAGGAAGTTCTGAAGCCTCTCTGGTCTGTACTGCAAGCCAGAAGGCAGCAGGAAGTGCTGCTCACCCTCCTGGATAGAAGCAAGGTACCTTTTTTCTGTGGAACTGATATTCCAGCTGAGAAACCCTTTCTTCAGGGTAACATGAACTGGTATTCAGCTGACAGCTACAGGTTCATAGACACTTCAGAAAAGCTTATTCTTGACAGGCACATTTTAACACTCCACGGGGTCAAGGGGAAGGTTTCAGAAAGCTGAAAAATCTGCAGGAACTTGAAAACTATCTTGTTTCATAGCACCCCTTGCTAATATCTACAGAGGACATTGGACAACTCCTGGTCACTTCAAGGAGTCCTGTCCTCTGATAAAATCTGTATCTGTATAGGCATGCAACTTGAGATCTTATCAAAACATGCACCAGCCAAGTGTCTGTAACATATTTATTTAGGTAAACTTGACTCAGACGTTTCCCACCTTCTGTGTGATTGCTCTTATGGTCTTCACTTTTTTTTTTTTTTAAGAGGCAGTTATTCTTAGCCTCTGAAATTTAAAAAAGAAAAATTTAATTGTTTGGTGTTACATTAAACAATGCCAGTCCCTACACAGATCATCAAAGATGAACATTTACACATACCACACACTTCTTCATTACTTGAATTAATTGAAACTGTCAGGACAATTTAAATATGAATAAGGATGTGATAAAAGGGGGGGAAAATAAAAGAAACAAGTCAGTTCATCTATTCTTGGTTCTCCTCTTGAACTGCTATAAATTCTGTTCCTAGCAGAGGCCAGTTTCAATGGAGAAGAATTAGGCCTTACAGTTTTGCTTCCCAAGGTTTTCTACCAAGGGGGAGAAAAAGCAAAGCAAGTACTACAGCCATCTGCCTGGCACAGCTTCTCCTCCTTCCCAGCTCTCCAGGGAGGCTCACTGCAACTGTGCTATCTGATCCTCAAGGGGAAAGCCATTCAGTTATGCTTCATAATTCCTCATTCAACAATGAAACCATCTTGGCCTTGCAAACACTTGCTTATTCTGGGTCTCACCCAGCTCTATGTGCTCCCACGGCTGGTCTGGAGGAGCTACACCAGCAGCAGATGGTTAAAAGCAACAAAGAATATCCTCTTGTTCTTTCCTCTCTTCTCAGAGCAGACACAAACTAGTTTACATGCTAATGGCAATTAATTGTTTCCATCAGCACTGGAAAGGTGACCTGCTGGAATGAGGGACTGGACTGCATGAGCAGATTGACACAGCAGTGCCTGTTGCTCCACCAAGGACAACTAAAGGCCACCAGCCACACCAGGATACTGGGGCTTCTTTGTTTTTAAGTGGCTGAAAGCCACAACTGCCTGGCCTTCTGCTGACTGCAGGAGAGGATGGCTTCAATCCCCCATCTGAAGTCACTGCTCTTGGAATAATGGGCTAAAAATTTCCAGAGCAAAGTTAATATCTTCTTAATGACAGCCTTATATGTAATTCACAGGGAAAGAAGACAGCTGAGTGTGAAAGAAAATGTTTTCTAAAATAGTAGAGTACATCAGCCTACTTCTACTTTGTGCAAGTTATGAAAAAAGTTATGCTCAGAGCTTTTGTAATTTTTTGGAGAAAAATCCGATTGCTGATGTGATGAAAAAGGGTCAGACAGGGTTAACCATGAGGTCAGACATTTCTTGGCCAGATATTTCATTTTAAGAACACGAAAGGACACCTTACATTATGTGTTCTTATGCTTCTTAGAAAGTACCA